ATATTTACCTCAAATAATTATCAGGTGACATTTATGTATATAAAATGTATTTTTATTAAAATATTAATAAATTATTTATATGTGTAGAGATAGATACGGTTTCTAAATATCCGTTTCTTATCTTGCCTTATAATTTCTTTTTTTTCTTCACTGTCATATTTTCGTACTTGTAATATCCATCGTCCAACATTCATGTACTTATGGACGATAGACTAATGCTACTGACTGATGTATCGTTTGTAACGCAAAATAGTTATTGGAGTATCACGCTTGATCGTTGATCGCTATCAACGATAGCAGATCATGAGTAGAATGGATGATAGGATAAGAATTTCACAATCGGGTGGAGAGATTCAAAGTATTTGCATAAAAATAATGTGATTATAGTAACGGTATTTGGTAAGGGTGGTATCAAAAAAGTCGACCCTCTTTACGAAGCGGAATAAAAGAGGAAAACAAAAAGAAATTAACAGATTACTCTGCATAAATAAGAATATACTCTGTTTACTCATTCCTAAAATAAAGAAGTAAAATTCATTGTTACATTCCAGAGTTCAAAATGAGTCCAGTCATTCATAAATAGTAATTTATATATAGGTATTTTTTTTAAATAGACATTAAAAAAATTACTACCAGCTGTGCCAGTTAATCCATCGTGGCAAATTTATCAGAAATTAATGACTTTGGTGCCGGAAATAAATGACAGGAGCATAGCACCGACTACACGTGCAATATACATAGATATTCGTGATACATATATATTAGAATAGTTTGTGTAAATTCAGAATAATGTTCGAAATTTTATTAGTTTTCACTCTTTTGAGTAATAAAATTACGCATTACTACTCATAATATATTTATAACATTTCTCAAAATGCATGTTGACCAGGTTAGTCTTCTTTAACATATCTACTGAAATGCTTGGGCTCTTTAGGACAATGATGTTTCAATGAGAGCTGATTAATTTAGAAGCATAAGGGTCATATATCACATTATACGGTATAAACAACTTTAATTGAAATAAAATAATTATGTATTTCTAAGATCTTTATAACATACACAATAAATTGGAAAAATAAAGGCACTTTGAGTAAGTTCCTGGGTGTAGTGTGGGTAGAATAATAATGAAGGGACGTTATAATAAAAATATATGTATTACACTGAAGAAATATCATGTAGGAAATCAAGATATGTATGTTGTACCTATAATATGGAATTACATTTATAACTTTCACACACACGACAATACATGAAATAAGACCGTTATTTAGTCATCGATAATATATGTAGCTTTGTAATAACGCTAATGTACATTTATATTAAATTTCTGATTATTGCCAGTTATATGATTACGGTATTTACCTACAGTTTAAATATTGATTAATATTCTATATAAAAATATTGAAATTTTTATGCGACAGAAGATGACCTAACCTAAATGAATAAAATACTTTAACTTGGAAAAAAATCTACTCAAAGGAGCTAAATTAAATTTATTTGAATAAACATTATTTCTATTATATTCTATAAAATGTAGGTACTCACCAAAATTTAAAATAAATTAATATATATTAGCCTCATTACCAACGAACACATAAAAATACGAAATAGAAACGTTCTATTTTCAAATAACTTTGTGTGACGAATGTTTTTGACGAGAATAAAAGAACACTGGTTGACTGTTGGTGACACTCCACCACAAACTAAAAAGATATTACTATGTATCGCACAAATTTACCACACGTGCAGCGAGCGGCCTAGGCCTGCGCGATATAAAGTAAACACTGAACAGTAGGTATACACTGCCCAAAATAATTTACAAATTACCGATAAAGTATTGAATTACGTATATTTATGTACAATGATGAATGGAGATGCAAATTGTATGTTTCTATTTCATTGTAATGTAAATCTATATACTATTTATTAAAAATGGAAACACATAAACAAATTAATTATTAGACATGAGTATTGCCTACTGACGTATTATTGTAATGTTTCTTACATACTTGTATCATGACATCATACAAGTTTGTAAAATCTTGTTTATGTTTTAATCTAGAAGAGTAAAGAGGGACGGAGCAATCTTTAGCACAAAATATAGGTAATTAATTAATATCTTGCCTATAGTGCTGTAAAGAGCCGAGTGTGATATAGAATGGAGTTGGCTGCTTATGATGCTAATGTATTCAAAATTACGCTGTCCAGATGATTAAATAAGAATAGCATTTATGTACGTATTAGTAGATTTGACGTTTAAAAAGCGACTTCGACTTTATGCTATGAGAAAACAATCATTAAAATATGTTCAGTTTGTATAATGTTATACGTTGTTATTAGTGAGCACGACTTCTAATTGTAGGCGTCGCTAACGTTCAAGGAGTGCCATGGATAGCACAGTAGCTAGCCCCGGATACATTTTCTATTTCTGTCAGAAAGCACTAGAAACTCTTGATCTTTGAAACAGTTTTTGTCAGTGTAATCTTAAACGTAAGTCATCATATTGTATTATATATATATTAGTACGCATATATATGAATGAAATGATATGGAATTATGTATGTATACCTAATAGTTATTCTACAAATGGCATTTAACATAAATGTACCGATAACATTTATCTGTGAAAATTCAAGTGACGTGTTCCACTTCTTCTCATTAGCGTTCCCTTGGGAAAGAAATATATTTCCATTAAATAAAATCTATTCTTTTTCCATAGAGCTATCTGAGTCTATGGGTTGTACAACGACAATCGTAGTAAAATAGAATAGAATAGAAAATAATTTATTCAAATAAACTCAATTTTGGCACTTTTTAATAGTCTTTTTTTTAATCTACCATTCATTCGGATTTTCAAGAATAACGACAAAGAAACTTGCGTGTTGCTTTTTTAAATTATTCACATATTTCAACTTGCAACTGTACATTTTCAAGTTGAAAATCAGTCGTAGTGATTAGAGCGGATCTGTCCCTACAAGCAGCACTCGTTCACGTGTATGACGAAAGTAGTTGCTGAGTTAGTTAGTTGATTTGGTAGTATGATACTATCAAATCTAGTAGTCATCTAAAACAATACTTTAATTATTTTTCATATATGAACTATTTATTTTGTCATTCATCAAAACAGTGTCAGGTGGTCAAAATATAGAATATCTACTTACAAACATACCAAACATAGTTGTTTACGGGACTGTCATCACTTCAATTATGATAGGTGATGTTTTTATCTAACTTATGTATTATAGTATTATAGGTAGGTAAGTAGGTACTCTTGTTTATCAGATTACGAAAAGTCCATTCATATAATTAGAGTGCCTCATTTTTATAGTGGTTGAGCTCGTTGCCTTATTTTCGGTGGTCGCGTCTTCGATTATACCACGATACAAATATAGTCAAATATTTGTTATAGGCGTGTATGTACTTTCTTCGTTTTTCTTTTATTTATTTATTTAGTTAAGTCTTCTTGTATTTCCTAGTATACTGTGTGTACATGTATATTTTTTTCGTTGTTTATTTCATTTTTTTGTTAGTTTTAGGCCACATTGTATTAAAATTTACATTAATTAAGAGTTTTGGAATTGTAATCAATGAAAAGTATCATGCTTTTCTTAAGAACTATTAAATAATAGACTCTACATTTTTATATATATATACTCAACCAGCTGACTACTGGTTTTAACGCTGTTTGTCAAAAACCCAATAGACGGCCACTTAAATAGGAGTTTGTTACATGGCTGTGTACTGGTGAAAGTCAAAAATATATCTATATCTGTTATTATGATACTACAAAGAAGAAAAACTATGATTGATCAGGAATTGTAAAATGCACAAAGAAGTGATTCATCAAAATCAAAACAAAATAAAATTAAAGTTCTCAGTAATATACTTCTATCTCCTGAAACTCGTGACACAGAAACCTGTAAGGAAAGAAGAAGAAAGAAGAAGAAGAACTTGAAATCTTTTTAAATACTGATGTTACAAACTTTCGTGATTTTAATAGATAGGTATTTGATTGTTTGATTAAGATTAAGATGTATGTATAATATTATAAAATAAAACAAGTATTAGGTATAATGCGAAGCCAAAAGGAAACAATTATTATTTATTAAGCAAATTAATTATACGTCAGTACAATAGCTAGAAAACAATAAGTAGGTAGATACATTTCATTATCTATACAAAACAATAACTCAACTGAATTATTTGTGTGTTACTTATAACGCTACCGTGAATAAAAAACTGTTTTTTTTTAAATCACTTCTGGTCTTATTTCCAAGAATATATTATTGTACTATATTATAGACAATTCAATTTTTGTATTACATTCATTTTGAATGCAATGAGTTCGAAATAATATCAATGTTTGAAGATTCTTTACTGTATGTGAGAAGACATAGCCAGAATAAATTATTACGGGTATAGTTTCTGCGAGAATGAAGTGGTACAAATAAACTAATAGAACGTGAGATAGGAACCACACAGTAGAATCTTACCCACAAAATTTATACGTGATAACATCGTAGATGACATGATAAAATTGTTTAAATTTTTGTAAAGAAAAAAGGTTAAATTTTGCAGTAATTAATAGTTGAATGAAAATAGGGTTGACGTACCAAAACAGTTTATTTTTATATTTCCCTAAAACAGGGATTAACTGCCTCTTTTTTACAATAATGACCTTGGTAGAAAAATAATTGTTGGTATGTTGTTGAACACTTATAAGTTTACAATATGAACTTTCCTCACAAAAATGTATTAATATGTTGTTTAATTCAGAGACACAAGTGTACGTACGTAATTTTAAAAAATAAAAAGGAAATAAAGTATAAATTATTTCAAGAAACTTTCAAATCATTGAAAGATTCTTCGAATACTTTATGACTTTATATACTTTATACGGACTACTTATATCTGTGATACGGCACTACCCCGCCGCAGCTGGTAACATTAATCGAATATTTGACATTAATTTGACACCTGTCAATTTAGTCCGAGAGAGGTAATGCTTATTGCACGTGTTTATTTTGATTCCCACATAATTTAAAAGATTTATGTAATTAATATAATATATAAGTGTACTTCAAAATGAAACCAAAAAAAGTTGCACAGAAGCCTTCCTTGTCCTATACAAGTAATAAAAATTATTATAAAACTCCTAAAACTGCCAATCCGGTAAGTAGTAATTACAATGTTATTTTCATTAATTTAATAACCTTTACAACCTATAAACAGATAATCTAGTACCGAGGTCTCGAATTTTATTAATTCATCTTTGTTCCTGCAGAGTCTACAATGCCTTGGGACACCACACATAGAATCATTCAACTACTTGGTTGAAGACGGCTTAAAAGCCGCTGTTGCTGATTTAATACCGGCAGAATTTGATACGCCTGGTGGAGATAGAATAAAAATAGCTATAGAAGAAGCCACTTTCTCTAAACCCAGCATTCCACTTGATGTTGTGGGTATTAAATCGCAGCAAATTTATCCAACAGAATGCAGGCAAAGAGGTGTGACTTACAAAGGTGAATTTAAGATACGATTGATATTGAGTATCAATGGTAAAGAAATGATAATGGATAAGACATTGGGCTACCTACCTATAATGGTTAAGGTGAGATTATATATAAATAGGAAATACTACTGAATTATTATTTTAGGATGGTTTAAAGTACTTAGTATCCATAATGCAGTTGGGCATTACAATATACCCTCTTGGAGTTTTAGTTTTAACATAAATTTACAGTAAATGTAACATAAACCATGACCATGATTATTTGTTTGATTGTTTGATTATTTGTTTCTATTAAATTAATAAAACCTCCTATGTAGATGAAAATATTAAATTGTTATCATACAAAATTAAAAGGTAAAAATATCTTCAAAAGAGGTACCTTTAAAGTCTAATTTGTAAACTGTGTTTCTTCTGTAACTATCACATAGTTTAAACCAATGATTCTCATTATTTTTTTTATTGCACACTTTTACCAATAAAAATTGGCAGCAGAAAGAAAAACCTTTTTCTTTCTGTTCTTTTAATCTAAATATTATTATTTACTTATTATACTTATGATGACTGATGATATTATAAGAAAGGGAGTAAATAATGAGATGATTGCGAACAGGGATGAATGGATGAGAAAAATATATTACGCAGACCCCAAATAAATGGGATAAGGAAGAAGCATATGATGATGACTTATAACATACTATGTAAAATGCTGGTTTGTGTTAATAATTTTAAATGAGCGAAATAATATGTGCTGCGAAAATAACTGTATGATTATTAAGGGCACAGTAATTGAGAGAATCACTGGTTTAGACTTTAAAAAGTTTTGATTAGACACTATATATCTACATTTATAATTTACTGCTAATGTGTTAGATAAATCTTTCAAATAAAATATGTATTTAATCATGAACTGTTGAAACATTAAAAAAAAATTATTTTTTTTTTCAATGAATTTCTCTAAGATTACTTGGGACTGTATGCTAATTGTGTATAATAATCTAAAAATTATTATATCCTGTAGGTTGTTAATAAGTAATAGTATTATTATAGTTTCTGTATTTGTACTAAAATCTTTAAACAAATAAGATGAATTCAGTTCTAGATAAGATTAAAATATGCTGTGGAGTCTTAATTTCCTATTATCCATGCATCTTCTCAGTTCACACCTATTTTATTAATCTGGTTGCTTCTTTCATCTTCTGTTCTCTACCCTTTATTTATTATTGGCTTGGCTTTAATCATAAATGAATATTCTTTTTTAGTCCAAACTGTGCCATTTATCTGGGATGTCACCTGAGGATCTTGTTGAACACAATGAACATGCTGAGGAGTGGGGAGGTTATTTTGTTGTAAAGGTATAGAAATATTTTAATTTTTTATATCTCAACATCTAAACTTGCTAAATTTCTATATAACTAAACTGTAATGCTAATAAAGCTCACTGTACCATATACCTAAAGACCATGTAAGAAATACAAATAAATATTAGGACGAATAAATGAATGAATGAGAAATGGCTAAGTACAGAACAGAACATTATATTACTATTAAAATTTATTTTTACAGGGACATGAGCGGCTAATCCGCATGTTGCTAGCAACTAGGAGGAATTATCCAGTTGCAATCAAACGGCCTTCATGGAAAATGAGAGGCAATTTGTTCACTGAATATGGTATATTTGTGCGCAGTGTTAAAGCTGATCAAACAGTTAGGGTAAGTGTTTCACTTGGCTTCGATTATTTTAAGATTTTGATACATCTTATCAAACACACACTTGTAAAGTATTAGCGTTACATTATTAATACATTATCTACAAATACTTGTAAGTTGTTGGTTACACTGTGTAGACAGTAAGTAATAATACTTTTTCTAGGTTGAATCATTTCAATCTTCAAATTAGTTAGTAGAGTGTTCCATTGTTTTAAGGACAAGAATTAAATATGTAACCAATGTCTTTCTAAATTGACTATATTATGTATGCGCTAGTAGGATATATATATATTTTTATTTTAATACTGATAATTGCCAATCTGATTTTTAGACAATAGTAAAGTAAAAATATGTCAATATACATATATGATATATTGAAATATTTTTTTCATGCTAGCTGAAATATTTGCCATTGTAATATATGATAATGTTTTGTAATATATAGTATACTCTGTTAATCTGAGATAATACAATCTATGTACCAAAAGTCAATTAAATGCATGCATTGTTTAGCTGTAATATGACACTAGCTATTTCCGGTCTGTAATGCGTTTAATACGCCCATGATAAATAGTCTAAAGTATCCTAATACTATAATTGAGGATATGTTCAATCGGTGAATCAAAATTAATTTTAAGCAAGAATTATAACAAAAATTTAAGCATCACATCAATTATTTTATTATAATATTATTAATATTGTAAATACATATAGTATAGTAGTTCTGATACATTAATAATGTGACTGTGCATCTATCTTCTTGAATCCTGTAAGATAAAATATTTTTTGCAGACAAATGTATTACATTTCTTACAAAATGGCACTTGCAAACTGATGTTTGTGCACAACAAAAGGATGTACTTTGCTCCTTTGATTTTGATCCTGAAATGTTTAGTGGATTGGCCAGATCATTATATCTACAGATTACTTTTGCATGGAAAGAAAAATGATTTGTATTATGTGAAGTGAGTATAATCAACTTGTTCATAGTTTTCTTATGTTTGAATTGTTATATGGAACTAGATACTTTAAAAAAATATGCGACGTTATTGGTGTGTTAGTAATGAAGATAATAAAGCTGACTTGCTAGAGAAGTACAATTTTATTGTAAAACCAAAATGTAGCAGTAAACCACTAGGTGTTCTTGGCCATCGGAATTTAATGATTAAATATTAACTAATTATATAGCTTAAAAAAACCAAAAATGTATTGAAAATGCTCTTTAAATACATTTTTGTTTTTTCTTTAACAAAAAAGAAGGCTTTTTTACTTTTGATTACATAGTTGCATCCAAAACATGCTCCGAGAGCTGCACGAGGAAGAACTCCACACATCAGAAGAATGTCTTTCATATCTAGGACGCATGTTCAGACCAAAACTATATGAGCTTCCACTTTGGTGTACTGATGAAGAGGCAGCCGTTTACCTGCTAAACCAAAGTCTGATGATTCACCTACCAAATCATAAGGACAAGTTTTACAGTCTTGTTTTTATGGCACAAAAGCTATTTGATTTGGTGCAGAATAAATGCAAAGTAAGTACTTGCTCGAAGTCTTGGACTTTCAAAATATGCCATCTATCCTTACGAGCTGTCTTTACAGTGCATAGTTTTTCATTCGTAATCATGAAATAAGCAGAAAACTAAACTATAAAGGTAGACAAAGATGGCGAGAAGTAATTGTAATGGCAAACAAGCTGACAGCCCACCTCATGGTAAGATGCCTGCCTGTCGCCTGATATCATCAGCAATGAACAGCTCCCCAGATAGCACGTTATCATGTGACACCCGTGCACCACCCATGCTTTGCCTCATAATTTCACTACCATATGTAACGTTATAACCGAAACAGTTTACAAAGCAAACTGTTTGGCTGAAATAGGTAGAATTGAGGTACTCTCGCAAAAATAAAACAGTAGTGCCAAAAGGAAGGATGTATGTTTTTAAAATGTGTTTCACGCATTTGCGTTGCAATAAATATTGAATGGCTTCGATTTTTCCAATCACTGCTATGTAAATAGTTTGTAAATAATATTGGTGTATTGTTAACAGGTGGAAGGTGCTGATTCTGTAATGACACAAGAGTTGGTATTAGGAGGCCACTTGTACCTTCAGATATTGAAGGAACGGCTGCAGTCTATAATCGTTGGGTTAAAGTTTCAGTTTCGTAGAAAAGGTTCGACCAAAAATCTCGAAATTTCTACGGTAATTTCTTTCTCTACTATTTTTCATTCTCTACAAAACATTCTATTATAATATGTAAAGTTTTTTAGTTTAAACTAGGTGTATCTAGAGGAGCTGTATTAGTAGAATGTATTTTTTTTTGTATATTACTGTATAATACACAGTTAAGTTATATATTAGTTTATCAACCTCAAACACAGTACAATATTATGGGACATACTATCATAAATAATGGTCGCTTAAACCGAAGTCACACTAAACAGTTATATATTCTTTGTACCTTACTATGAATCCAAAATTTTTCATAACATTGTCGTCGTTAAAAACGGTTAGTCGTTATAAGCGAAGTCTTTACATTTGAATTCTACTGTATATAAATAAATAGTGACGACATGATCTCGACAGTACTATTCGGGTCTGTTATCGCTGTACCAATATTGCATCACTGAGTTTTCAATATAGTCGGTATTCTAGTTATATAAAAAAGTAGTAAAATGTAGAAAATGGATGTCCGTAGACTCAACTCTCTCAAATGATACGCATGACCGGCAACCTGGAGACTAAGATGGAAATGTTCTTAGCCACGGGAAACGCGCCATCCAGCAATGTAAATCTCACTCAATACAAGGGGCTTACCATCGTCGCTGAGAACATCAACAGATTACGATATATGTCGCATTTCAAGTGAGTATCATTTGAGTAATTTCATTACACATCATCATATTTCCATACAGTTTGCTGATAACTTAATTAACTACATTGCATATTATCAGAATGAAATTGGTATTGAGTAATCTTATAATATTAACTCAAGACAGTTCATACAGCGTCATTTAGTACCAAGCTATGCTTAGTCATGTTCAATAAATTAATATTTATTAACATATATTATTATTATTAATTATATTATAATATATATTAATATTTTATAAATACTTAGTTACTTTTTTTTAATGTATACTTAATCTACTTAGAAAATACCCAGACCATTACAGAAAATCATACTCACGAACATAAATGTTTGCATCGTACGAGAAATCGAACTCTCATCCATCTAAAGTAAAGAGGTGTGCTAAATTGTAAGACCACTGAGGGAGTCAACTTTAATAAAGATATTGGTCACATTCATAAACTAGTAGCGTCCTCGACGAGTCCTCAAAGAGGCGTATGAAACGCCTCTTTGGTGGTAATCAAATGACAACAATAAATGAAGTATTTATACGACGCTATCAAATATTTCGTTAAAGAATTCATTAATAAAATTAAATTAAAAGAATAATTATTTCCCCTCTTTTGGTCATTTGTATGTGTAACTATTAGTACAAAGTTAATTCGTTAAGTGTAATGCCGAGCGCACACGATCCATCAGGCGCAAGAGGGGAGATATTCCCCGCGCAGACTACCTACGTTTGAGCATAATAATTACAATTTTGCGCGATATATTTGTCAATTCATGGCTAATATTTACATTTAAGATCATATATTCAAGATCACATTATACATATGTATGTTTTCTCGATTCTGGAATATAAGTATAATGAAGAATATCCCGCAGGTCTATCCACCGCGGATCATTCTTCATGGAGATGCGTACGACTGAGGCGCGACAGCTGTTGCCCGACGCGTGGGGCTTCGTGTGTCCGGTGCACACGCCTGACGGTGCGCCCTGTGGCCTGCTTAACCATCTCACCATGACTGCACAGGTACGAAGCAACTCTCAACGCCCATACCGACCCAACGATATACAGTTCCATCCTGTGATAGTGAATTTTGTAATAAATCTTTTTTATATCATATTCTTATAATCATAATATCTCAGGATACATACGGCGTCATCTGATATAAATACATTGTTATTTTTTTAAATACATAGGAAACACTCAGACCCATTCAAGCAATCATATTCACGAATACAAATGTCTGCGCCGTGTGAGGAATCAAACCCGCGACGTAAGGCAGTGTGTTATACCGCTAGACCTCCGAGACTGTACAATATATAAACTAATATACGTAGAGTTTACTATTATAAATTAGACCTAAATTACGCACAAGTCTCGTAAGTTACAATTTAGTAAACACAAAAAAAAACATCGTGACAATTTATTTTCTGACTGCCTCTCCTGTGATAATAATCTTCAGAATATACCGACCGAAATGTGCACATAGAAAGTGTTGAGTTCACCACGCCAGAGACAGCTGAATGCAACTGATTATTTTCTATTTAGGTGAAAAAGGTCTATTGCTTTATCTTTCTTACTATATATACTTTTTTAAATTCTGGTTTCGATTTTATGAACTTTATAATAATTTCCATAATTAACAGGTATCGCAGAATCCTGATCCAAAGCAAATAGAGTCACTAATATACGTGTTGGAAAGAAGCGGTAAGTTTCATTTATTATACCATACATTTGTTAGTAATGGAGATTAGTGACCTCATTATACCATGCAGCCAGCAATATACCATGTCGACCTCCATGCGTTCTCCCTGAAAACCATCGTGGTTCATTTTCTCTTATTCTTTTTCAACGTCATTCTTATCTTATCATCGTCCATTTTTAATTAAAAAAAAAAAGAGTGCAGTAATCCTAAATGAGAATAAAAAAAAATCATTGCAGGGATGGAACCAATAAGCGTAATAGCGCAGACGCCAATCGCTTATGATGTTTACAAATACCCTGTGTTCCTCGATGGGCGACTACTCGGGTACCTGGCTGAGGACATAGTTGTCAAGTCGATTACATACCTTCGCAGCCTCAAGGTCAAGGGCGAGCAGATCCCCATCACTACCGAGATCGTCCTTATACCGAAGAAACAAGTGGGTTCTTAACTTGCAAGTAACTTGCAACTTCTTATTTTTATACACAACTTTCAAACTCTGATTCAACCAGACGATTATCACCCTCCATTACAGGTGAGAATTCCAACTACTAATAATTTTAAGCCGTTTCCAACAAAGTCATATGTTAAATATTGTTATGAGAGAGCAAATTATGTGACAATAAGTAATGAAATCTTAAATATTGAATGGAATAACCTCTTATCAAAATTAAATACAGAAGATGCTGTCAGTATGTTTTACGAAAAAATTTACGACATAATTAAGAAACATGTACCCACAAAAACTGTTAAACCCTTTAAATTCCCTGTCTGGTTTACATCTGAACTTATTAGATTATATGAAAAAAAAAATCGTGCTTGGATAACCATGAAAAAATTCAACTCGGAATCTAATCATAATGTTTTTTCAATATACAGGAGACAATTCAAAATGAAGTCAGAACAATGTTATAATAAATATATGAAACATATTGAAGACAATATGAAAGTAAATAGTAAATATCTTTGGACCTATATTCGCAATCGTGATAATAATTCAGACATACCCAATTCGGTCTTATATAATAACTCAGAGGCAAACACACCTGAAGAGGTATGTGCTTCTTTCTCCACATTTTTTCAATCTACATTTGAAAAGTCTGCTGTTTCTGAAAATTTTGATATAGTTGACATCGCCATTGATGAACGTTTAACACCTGATAATGTTATCAACAATCTTGAAATCTTAGAGAAGGTTGTACTTGTAGGTTTAAAGAGTATAGATATTAGTAAAGGTGTTGGAATAGATAGTGTTCATGGATATTTCTTAAAAAATACTGCCGCTGTTATTTGTAAACCTGTGTGCCACATATTTAATAAATGTTTGCGTGATGGAATGTTCCCTAGGATATGGAAAACAGCTAGAATTGTACCTGTACACAAAGGTGGCTCAAAACAGAATGTAGAAAACTATAGGCCGATTTCCATTCTTCCCACCTGTCAAAACTTTACGAAAGACTAGTTCATAAAGCAATATATCCCAGTCTCCATAATGTAATTTTGAACCAACAGCATGGTTTTGTTCAACGTCGATCTACAGTAACAAATTTACTTGTTTATACTAACTATTTATTTGATGGGCTGGACAATAACAAACAAATAGACTGCATATATACTGATTTTCGCAAGGCTGACAGAATCGATCACAGAATGTTACTAGAAAAAATAGCGTTTTGTGGTATAAGAGGAAACCTCTGGTGATGGTTCAAGTCTTATATTTCTAATAGAACTCAAAAGTTGTTATTAAGGGATTTGAATCTCAATGTGTACAAGTTACCTCAGGAGTTCCCCAAGGATCCATTCTTGGCCCCCTTTTATTTATACTATTTATAAATGACATTAATACATGTTTTAAGCATTGCAATTTTCTTTTATATGCTGATGACTTAAAATTATATTATACTATTAACAATATAGAAGACCATGTTAAATTTCAAGAAGATTTAAATCGTTTTACAAATTACTGCAATAATAACAAACTTGAACTTAGTGTGAATAAATGTAAAGCCATCACATTTACAAAGAAAATAAAAATTAGCAACTACCCATATTCACTCTGTAACACAATACTAACTAAAGTTAACGACATCAAGGATCTTGGAATAATTCTTGATTCTAAACTACATCTTGATTTACACATAGAGAGTATAATTAATAAGGCTTATAAAATGTACGGGTTCATAATGAGATCAGGTACTAGGTTTAGAAACTGTTCTACATATATTCATCTGTTTCAGTCATTAGTAAGATCACAGTTAGAATACGCAGTGACCGTATGGAATCCCCATTATGATAAATATAAGAATAAACTAGAAATGGTTCAAAAGAAGTTCCTCAGACGTATACATTTTATGTTTTTTCGTAGAAGACTATCCTATAATGATCTAATAAACATTATAAATTGCTGAGCTTGAGCTTAAGACGCTCTCAATTACAATGTATGCTGCTTTATGATATCTGTAATAACAAATATGATTGTTTAGATATGTCATCAAGTATATATTACAACATACCCCCCAGAGTTGAAATGAGAACATCATGCCCCCATAGACTCTTTTCGATTAAAGCAAGTCGAACTAATGGTTCAAACCTATTACTCGCATTTTGCAGTCGTACAATGATAACTTTAATGAATTGGATATATTCAAATTGTCATATATAGGTTTTAGAAGGTCAGTAATTAATAAAAAAGTCTTACGTATACTATAATCACATTGAATCATAATATAAAAAATCCCTTGTCACACTGATGTACACACATACATACGCGCGCACCAACACACACACACACCCACACTACACTCATATGTACAAACACACATTCGCACATACAAATGATTTTTCCTCGTATCTTTAGTAAAACCTGTAACACACATATCTCATATCTCTTTTCCTCATTCAACCCACTACATATACACCATCATAATTATAAGTAGAAAATATATTAGCTTGTATGCGTTTAGTATGTATGCGACCCACATATCTTAATACTTTAATATAATTTGTGATCATGCATGTTGGGTTTACAATAACATAGTACGTAGAAAATGTAAAATAATTATAAGTTTCCTAATTGTGAACCTGTTTTTGATCCTAAATAAATAAATAAAAAAAAAAAAAAAAAACTTTACTGCACAAATGATAACCTTGTCGCATTTTCTCTTTTCTTTTTCGTTGTCTTAACTAATCGAATGAAACAGAAGACTGCTATTAACGCACTCACGTATATTTATGCACTACAAATGCGTGGTACGGCAGGCACACATATATACATAATATAAACTATAGGGCAAATAGAGATATAGGATGGCGATACATTTTCGAAAAGAAAATGTAGACGTGTCAAGTGTTGCGTTCACGACGTCATTTTATTATGACTCATTTAGAAAACAAATGTAAACATATACGCATCAGATTTTAAAACGGAAACTGTACCTATAATCATCCGTTGTCGTCTACTACTAGGGTTGCGAACTACACTGTTTAAAGAGTATTGTACTGTTTTTCACTAAATTATGCTTTTTACTGTTGAACAAAAATAAAGTATAAAAAATACTGTTTTCAGCATCAAAACCTCAGCACTTACTGAAAGAGTTTTTTTTAGTAATTAATGCTAAGTGGTGAGATGATAGAAATAGAGCATCTATTAATTAATTTAATAAAAATAAGCTCCTAATATATTTTTATTTCAATTACGATTTTGGTGAGACGTATCAAGTTTTTCAAAAAAATTGTAAATTCGTAAGATGTGCGATGAGAATCTCTAAAAATATGTATTTAAAACAAAAAATATATAAGATTCTGTTCATTTTTCTAAAATAATGTTTAATATACTTCACAGACCAGAATATACTTTATTTCTTGTAAAGTAGTTGGCAAGCCTATCTACTACAATACTGTAGCGTCCTGTTTATTAGGAGGTCATGACAAACCATTGATAAACTAATTATATAAAATTTTATAATGAATAGATTTGTTCGCAATACGCGGGCGTGTTCCTGTTCACGACCGAGGCTCGCATGATGCGGCCCGTCATCAACTTGGTAACAGGAAGCTTGGAGCTGATAGGCACGTTGGAGCAGGTGTACTTAGATATTGCAGTCACGAAGGAGGAAATCTATAAAGGTAGGAACCGAAAGTAATACAACATATGTGCGTGAAATCTGAAAGAGTCCTTTTAAAAATATTCTAAATTGTTGTGTGTATAACAGCAGGAAATGTAACCACAAATTATTTATTTAAAATTTATAAGTAAATTTTCTACGTTAATATATTTGTTTTTTTATTTTTTACATTAATTTTAATTAATTAACAACAAAAAACATCTGTTCAAAACAGCAACACACAAGTTTCAAGTGCTCATTCTTCTTGTGATGGATCTGCTTTCCGAATGAGTGGTAGAATCAAAAATATAACTATTCAAACTTAAAACTTGTGTTGAATTTATTTGAATAAAGATTATTTCTATTCTATTCTTAACATTTAGACATCGGATCTCTCGCCATACTCTAAATGGGTAGGCTCTTGAGGATTAATAAAGTAATATATTTTTTTATGTAAATGACCAATCTGATGGTAAAAACTGTCGCCTGTAAAATATATATGTACAGCACCACAGACATCACTTTATTATTTGACGACAGTGATACCACTGTATACATATCATGTAATTTCACTACCTTAAACCACCGCTTACAAAGGAAGCAGCATGAGACAGATGCCAACATCGACGATTTTTTTTTCAAAATTTACTTCAGTCAAAAATTGTTTAGTATGTTGAGGTTTGATTAGTATATTTAATTACTGTAATAATACCGGTTTTCAATTATTTTAGGCCTAACAACTCATTTGGAACTGTCAAAAACAGCTTTCATGAGCAATTTAGCGCAACTGATCCCAATGCCAGACTGCAACCAATCACCGCGGTGAGTATATTTTTAAATTACATAATATTAATATAAATAAATATACATTGTTTTATGGGTAATAATGGAATGGTGCACCCGCATGCGCTAACGGTTTACGCTGGCGGGGCACCAGTGGAGACACCAGTTAGCCTATCTTGACGAATCCACCAAGAATTTATCACGATGGTTTCCAGGGGAACCGCATGGAGGTCAACCTGAGATGGTACAAACAATGGGGTCATCAGTCCACATTACTAACAAGCCCCGGATTAATACCAGCTGCTGAATTTTACCATCGCATTAACAACCAGAAGCCAAAATAGCATTCTGATCATCTGGGTGAATGGCGGTCCTCCACTGTGAGCTTATTTTGCCACGCACAATCACATTTTTTTTTGTGGATTGTGGATTCATTCATCATTCATGGAAGGTGATCCTTCCATGAATGATATTTACGAATCGATACGACATTGAAACCTTCAGGAAAAGAGCTTATTCCTTCAAGACAACGCAGTTGCTATTCCAATTGTATTGCTGGTGCTCACGAGCAGCGGTAATCATTTATCATCAGGTGATCTGCAAGCTCGTTTGTCCCCTAAGCTATAAAATATCCACAAACAGATTATTTTTGCGTGATATTTGCAGTAATATGTACCAGTGTCAAATGGGTAAGCAGACAATGGGTACCCCAGTCCACATATGGGATAAGTTGGGCCCTGGCAAACTGTTTCGGCTGCAGACTCCAGCGACGCCGCTATTTCGGCCCGCGCACTACGACAACATCGGTCTCGACGACTATCCTCTCGGCACCAACGCCATCGTCGCTGTCATCTCTTACTCGGTACGTACTTGAATGACATATTTTATCCTATCTCCCTTGTGCTAAGAGATAAAATGTAATTTTTTTTTGTTTTCTAGTTTGTATGTTTAGATATAGCAGTTTTTTTATGGATAATAATAGAATGGGGCAGGTCCATGCGCTAACAATTTACGCTGACGGAGCAGTGGAGGATAATAAGATGAACATGACGTCAGGTCAAATGGATTGAAGCTGAAATTAGTATTTTATTCTTAGAATAATGTCTGGTACTGAGATTACGACCCTTTTTGTTATGCTGTAGCTCACACATAACGATTACAATAAATCTCAAATTAATCCTAAGTCGAATGTAAAGATAATAATAAACAATATAACCCAAGAAAACTCGCACAGCGCCGTTTAGTACCAATTTAAGCAGAGATTGTACTGTTGGTACCAAACAACTGAAACATTGACATAGGAAACAAAGGTTGTCTGTAACAAAGGTTCTCATTCGACACGTTCTTGACACGATTGTGGTAACATACGATCTATGTGTCTGTTTAACAGATATTGTTATTGTTCTATTTTCTAGGGTTATGACATGGAAGACGCAATGATAATCAACAAATCAGCGTACGAACGGGGCTTCGCGGCTGGTTACATTTACAAGTCAGAATTCGCGTACCTGCCTAACATGACTTCGTTCTTTCAACGCGATCCTAACAAGCCGGAACTCAATGACTACATGGACGTGGATGGATTACCACCAGTCGGTGCCAGGATACAATACAATGATCCGTATTACTGGTAAGATTATATTTATAATACACAAATACTGTTTTTAAATGTAAACAAGCTGACGACTCACCTGATTGAGCATATTACTATTTATATGATATTCCAAGAAAATATTATTTTTGTTCTTATAACAATTGAGTCAATTGCGAAATTGTATACCGATACCATATATATAATTTTATAATTGTTATTGCCATACTTCTAATCAAATGTAAATTTATAAATATAATACAATATTTCATATAGTGGTTATGAAATTAAATGAATTATTTTTAATTAGCCTTCTAGCGTCATCAATAACCAAACCTGAACTCCTAGCTCTAGTAGGCCTAGTTCCCTAGGTATACAATGCAAAATAGGTTAAACCAATGTTTTCTTTTTAGTTACTTTAATACTGAGAAAAGTCAATTCAACGTATGTCGGTATCACGGCAAAGAGGAGGTGTTTGTGGAGAGTGTGAGACTTTGTGGAGACCTTAGTTTCAAGACTGCGACTAAAGCTTGCATCGTGATGAGAACACAGGTCGGTAGACATTTTTTTTATTATCTAATTAGATTTTGTTTTTTTTTTGTTACAAAACATGTCAACCACCTTACATCCAATCTAATTATAACATTAAAATATGCGTCAGGAACAAATTAATTAAAAACTATCTTTGTACTAACTGTTTTCAACAGGAATTGTACATAGTTGAAATAATGCAGTATAATACACTCTTTAGGGGAATCTACGTCTGCTCAAATAAAAATTATAGTTATAGTAGCAATAAACACATTTTCAGCGTAATCCAACTGTAGGCGACAAATTCGCATCTCGCGCTGGCCAAAAGGGTATCTGTTCCCAACGTTGGGCGGCCGAGGACCTCCCGTTCACGGAATCTGGGCTCATACCTGATATACTGTTCAACCCTCACGGCTTCCCGTCGCGCATGACCATCGCTATGATGATCGAGTGTATGGCTGGCAAAGCGGCCAGTGTGCACGGACATGTAAGTATTAATATTTTATTTTCATCCACATTCAAATAAAATTCAAACTCCTGTTCACTTACTTAAATGTTTATAGATTTACTAGCTGTGTCCGCGGTTTCACCCGTGTGGATTTTATAGTCTAAATGTTATTCGGATGCATAAGCTATATTATTGTAAAGTTTTATTAAAATCCATTCAGTACATTTTACGTGAAAGATTTTTTTTATAATTATTATTGGCATTAAAAATACATACAACCCAAAATTTTCACCCTCCTATGACAAACCCTTAATTTTTAATAGCAATTTTAATTTATATGGCAAAACAATGTTTGCGGGTTGCAGCTAGTACTACGTATATTTTCAGGTGCACGATGCGACCCCGTTCCGATTCAACGAGAAGGATACAGCAATAGGATACTTCGGGCGACTGCTGGAGGCAGCCGGGTATGATTACTATGGCACTGAGCGCGTCTACAGCGGCGTGGACGGCCGCGAGATGGAGGCCGACGTGTTCTTCGGCGTCGTACACTATCAGCGGCTGCGGCACATGGTCTCCGACAAGTGGCAGGTAAACAAGGGAATCTAAAAATAGACTCGTTGGTCTAGTGGTTTAGCCCCCTATTCTGATGGTCGCGGGATCCATTCCTTGTACGGTACAATTATTTGTAAACATGAGTATGATTGTTTGTATCGGTCTTTTTTCTATGTATATTTATGTGCGTATTTACAAAAAGTATCTAAGTATTTATATCAGTTGTCTAATACCCATAACATAAGCTCCGCTTTAGAACTTTAGAATGTGCAGTTCGCGATAGTTTTTCGATCGAATTCAAATGATTGCGCGTGAAATTGTGGATCTGCTTGCGCTCGACGCACTGCGTGCGCAACGTATAAAAAACGAGTCGACTTCTTGTTACTACTATACTATTTTTAAATAAGGCTGAAAAAACAGTTATATTTTTTTTCACATATCACAGATATCCACTTGTAAAGCAGAGCTGGTACTAGACAAATGTTAGACGTGTATATAAATGTAACATATATATGTGTACCGAAAAAACAGCATCTATTTAAATAAATAAACAAAGTAAGTTCCCATTACTAACAATTCCCTCTCCTTGCATCGTTTGTGGTACGTTAGGTGCGGACGACGGGTGCAGTGGATGCGCTGACGCGACAACCTGTGAAGGGACGTCGGCGTGGTGGTGGCGTGAGGCTCGGTGAGATGGAGAGAGATGCACTGCTGTCTCACGGCGCCTCATTCCTGCTGCAGGACCGCTTACTGCATTGTTCCGATGAAAGTCAGGTACTAGCACACCCGACTGATTAGAATAGAATAGAATAGAATAGAATAGAAAATCATTTATTCAAATAAACTCACATTGAAGCACTTTTGAATAGTCATTACAATTTTTAATCTACCGCTCGTTCGGAAAGCTGTCTCATCACAAGAAGAACGAGCAAGAAACTTGCGTGTTGCTCTTTTAAATAATTTTATTATTAGTTTACATTTTTAAGTTTAAGTGTGTGAATACAAACCACCAATTAGCACTAATTCTATTAAATACTCAAATAGAAATAATATTGAATATATAACCAACTGGTTAAACAATTAATAAGAGGAAATCAGTCATAGTGATTAGAGCAGACCAGTCCCTACAAGCAGCACCCGTTCAAGTTCAAGTTCAAAAAAACTTAAAGAAAAATTGTCAACAAGTATGGCACTAATTCTTATGTAAAGTTTAGTTACGCAAAGTTATTTCCCGCCCTAAAAGGCTTACAACCCAGCTACCCTCAGAGTTGAAGGAGGATTACGTTATTATACGTGCATTATTATAGGTACATTTGTTTGTGTTTTTAAAACTTTTACAGATTGAACTAGTACTCAAACTTACGCCCTATATATTTGTAGTCTTCTGTACGTATACCTAATATAGTAGGGTAGTTTCTTCCCTTTTTAATTAATTTTAATGTGTTTAATGTCCTCTCTTTGTAGAGTGCATCTTCTATTGAGTGTTGAACTTCAAACACAATACAGGGTGTATTCATGATATATCCGGAGGGGGACAAATGGGGTGTGGAATTTTTTCCACTAACTAATTGCCACATAGTTTATATTAGCTCTGAGCCGCCATTGTCGCAGGCATATGCTCGCGTTAGCATTCTACAGTGAGGGTAGTCCTTGGCCTAGATGTGCCCATTTCAAAACATGTGACATTCGCACATATAAAAATGTATTTATTATACTATTTTGAAGATATACTTGGATGTGAATGTTCTAAATATTTTAACATATTTTATACTTACATAAATATATATTGAATACGATATAACGAAAAATAAATAAGTATATTTCAATTTTTTAAAATAAATTTTATTTCAGGCAATTCTGTGTACAAAGTGCGGTACACTACTGGGTCCAATAGTGGGCAAGATTGAGGGGAGCAAGGACACCTGCCGACTGTGTCAGGAGGGCAACCTGGTTACAGTCTCCATACCTTACATATTCAAATTATTTGTAACACAACTAGCAGCTGTTAATATTAATATTAAGATTAATTGTAATACTAATTTAGCAATAAAAAGTTGTTAATCAAGTACAATCCTATTAAAATACATTAATACTAGTTTTATTTTGTTTCGTTCTCTTGTAAATAGTGTATGTATAAAACAAAGTGCCTGTTTTCGTATCGTGTATATACGTAATGGATGGATTTTGATACTGTTTTCACCACTATTACGAGTTTCTTCTGGAAGGTTTATGTTTGTAATAAATGCATATATAGGTAGACGACCTCCGTCACAGACTGTAGCATACCTAATGCTGAGAAGTGTTTCGCTAGTAGATCTTGAAATGATAATAAAACACATTATTTTCATAGTAATGTTTATTTCTTTTAGTAATGTGCCGGCTTGTGATGGCTTACTATTTTAGACAAAAATTGTTTTAGGTACATTTCTTATTTAATAACCTATAAAAATATTTTTGAAACTGGAACTAGTCCTCGTCCATAGCTTCTTGTTGTTCCTTCTTCTTTTTCTTTTTCTTCTTCTTAGCACTAGCTGTGGCATCGACCACAATTTGTGAAGCTTCCTCCAAAGCTTCTTTCATAACTTCTATGTTCTTTTTGGGAATGTCGCCAGTTTCATAGAACTTCAACCGATCTTCTACTTGTTGACGGAGCTTTTCGCCAAAGATTGTCGTTTGGTTTTCTGCGAAGTTTCATACATATTAATTTAATATTCTAGTAATATTATAATTTCTATTTCTCTCTAATCCTAGTAAAAAAAAATTATAACTTTGAGGCGCAGTTTTAAAGTAGTAACACAGAACCTTGACTAGTTTAAAAACTTAGTATTAAATTTATTTCTCACTGAAATAGCTTGTTTAACAAAACACTAAATATAGAATCATACTTAATATAAATGTTACAATACCTGGACACGACATATTCAGATGTTAGAATGGGCGTGAGTTACATTGCATTTAATTTAGCACAACTGTTATTAACGCAAGTTAATAAATAAACATTTACGATAGATCAAAGTGTGCATATACCTAAGCATAAATTAACTCCTGCAAACCTAATCTTATGGCTAGTTTTTTTAGCTATAACTTTAAGCCCATAGATACTCGATACGACACGACGAACTTCTGAAAATTAATATTGAAGGGAAAGGGAGACCAAAAAACATCTACGTCAAGCAATTTAAAGACAAAATTGGAGTCGTGTCCTATCGATATATAAAAAGGAAGATGGAAGATCGTGGAAAGAGGTAAGAGCTCCACAGACAAGAGTGTGGCTCTTAAATTATGAATGAATAGGATTATCATAAACTATTGAAGCTATCAATTACAGCTCCTGTAAGTTGTGTTAAGCAATTTAATATATTTTTTTACATATCAACATATTCAACTTTATATAATCGTCTTTACATCTATATTTTTGTTGTTAATTTTGACCGAAAACTGATCCAGACTGACCATGACGGTGTAGACGTTCTCAAGATTATAAAAGAATAATTGAGTCTGGTAGAATTAGATTTGACTTTATTATTGCATGAAAGGAAAATATCTGGTGTTAAAGAAATATAGGAAATTTTAGATAACATGTAAAAGAAATAAGGTAGGTTCTCATTGTTCTGTGTTTTTCGCGCTTTTCCTACCGAGGCGCGATCGCGCTTTTGCAACAGGCTTCCACTATTTCGATATGAGAATTTGAGTTGAATTACATTGCAATTTTAACATAAAACCCTGTATATTACATTTTTATTTAATTAGGTACACAAGAAGACTTACTAACAAACTTTCAGTGACTTACCAGAGAAACAGTCAATTCTGGAAGCTATGGAGCATTTATTGGCGAGATACCGGCTGATACGACCCTTGTTCTTGAGACCGGCGCGGCCAATGAAAGTCGAGTGATAAAGTAAACCGTACTTGGGTGTGTTGGACCTGGTCTTCAGGGCCCTGAACAACGCCTTTTCAGCACCTAAAATAATTGGATAATTAGTTTTTCACATGCACAAGTTTGAATGAAAGTATGATTAATCATTTCAATAGAAAAAATTTAATACATAAAAGAAATTATATTATATATCTTTAATTTGAATAAGTGACTTAATGTAAATTTTGAACAACTGTAATTTATTAATTTGTATGTGATGTTATATCACATACAAATTAATAAATTACAGTGGTTCAAAATTTATACATTATTATTATTATCATTATACATTTCTGAGATTATCAGGAATAAGTTCCTTTTGCCAGTCCCTGAATATTTTTTTAATGTGTATATACAGATAGTTATAACAGTAGAAACTAAAACTTACCCAAAATCTGCAATGTGGATGCAGGGTACTTCGCGAGGCTCGTAAGGGATCCAGCTTTAGAGATGAGCCGTGCGCCCACCTGGTCTCCAATCAAGGTAGTCAAGTTTGGTGCCACACTGTTCATCTTGGTGTGTAGATATTCCGATATCTGCTTCCTATACATATATATAACAATAGTTTAGAAAATATACTTTGACCATATGGATTGCTTTTACATAACCATACAAAAAGAATCAACGTGTTCACACAACTAGAAAAATTCTTGGGGCAATCAACAATCAAATTTGAGTTTAGTACAGATTTGGAAGTGATTGCAATCATTAAATGCATCAGAAACTACAAAGCACTGCCAGCCTTACACAGCATTTATTTTATTTTCAGTTCTCAACTGAAACTGGATGATGATAGGTGGATTATAATGATAATATATGGATAAGTAGCTAAAATGTCCTACTTGTTAAATTATTTTTTATTTTATTTTAATATTGGTCTAGCAGAATTTCTGTTAATGTAACAGAAATTCTTTTAAAAACTTTTACATTAACTAATATTTTTTTAAAAGTATGACAGACAAATCATATTAAGCACCCAATGTACACATAAAAAAAATATATTTACCTATAATTACTCAACGCAACAACTCTACCAGCAAACATTTGTATATTAATTAAATCTATTGGCGATATATCCATGCCCATAGACATCTTAGCAGCATCCACTATAGCTTGTGCCTTCTCCGAATCGCCTAGGATCTCAGTCAAAGGCTCGAGAGATTCCTCATTCAATGTTTTACGGTCCTTGATATATTCAGCGCACTTCGTGTATAAATGATTTTCGGGAACGATGCTGACAAGCTCTGGGAAGTGGTAGGAGTACCATTCTCTAGAAAGAAACATTTGATTTAGTAATATATATGTAATGGCATATTATGCACATGAAGATGAAGGAAAAATTATAACTATGAACGTTAAATCAACTTAAAGATTGAAGGAAAGTTAGAAAGAAAATTTACAGCTCTCTTCCGCTCAGCACAGTGCATTACTTCCGATAGTCGCGAACTCGATTCCTCGCACAGTACTGACATTTTATTCATGAGTAGGATTGTTTGTATTGGTTTGTGTTATTTTCTATGTGCATACATTGTATATGTATTTACACAAATAAATGTATCTAAGTATATCCATCTTATAGATCTTTGGGGGAGGCCTATGTCCAGCAGTGGACGTCTTTCGGGCTGCGATGATGATGATGATGATGATGATGATGAAGTATATCCATCAGTTGTCTAAATGGCTGTGTTAATTTTCCAGGTATATTATTATTATTATTATAAAATGGGGAAGAGGGAAACTACAAAGTGTAGTGTATCAGTGTTTGAAGGAAATGACAGAATTTTATTGAACAGGCAAGGGCTACACTCGTCTGCTACTCTTAAATTATGAATGAAATTAATATATAGCAATGTTTAGGCATAAAACATTCACAATAAAATGTTTATCAATTACACTGCATTTAATTTAGCACAACTGTTATTACCGCAAGTTGATATAGAAACACTTACGATAGATCAAAGTGTGCATTTATTAATGAAGTCTTATGTAAATCTATATATACATAAAGTGCAAGGTGAATAGACACTACACGTTAAAATTTAATGTATATATATTTATTTGTAGGATGAGTAGCACCCCAATTGGGACTGAGCAAAATTTATATAAAACCTTAAATATTTATACAACTAAACCTTCTTCCAAATTGACTCGCTAAAAACAGCATTAAAAATTGTTGAGTAGTTTGAGATTATCAGAAACACATAGACAGAAGCACAGGGTAATTATTTTTTATAATATGTATATAAGAAATAGTATACATACACACTAGTCAGTCTTATTGTCAGGATTGAGGATCTCAATATATATTTTAAAATAAGTAAATCTTAGAGTTGAAATTTTATTTGAAGAATGATAATTTACTTGGCTAAAAACAGTTTTAGTAATAAAAGAAATATTAACCTGATCCTCATAGAAAATGTATTGATGTCCTTGTCCAGCTGATCCAGCAAAGCTATGCTCTGTATAATCATGTTGTCTACTCTATGGACATTGAACTTCACCCGCGCCCGGGAGTAGGAGTGGCCAAGGCCGAGTTGTGCTACACTGCATGCCTTGAGGGTGAGCCCTTTGATGAGAGCATGGAAGTGGTGACGAATACCTGTCCAAATATGTAAAATAAAAAACATAAAAACCACATAAACCATTAAGTATTCTGAACACATTTAAAATAAAAAAAAATTATAAGCATTAAAAAAAAAGTAAGCATATTAAATATACACTTGCAAAGTTAGTTGTCCTGTATTGTTATATTTCTTTTACACATCAATATCTGTTTTACTTATTCTATAAAAATATTAAAAATGAGGTAATAATATTATTTAATAATAATATTTACATAAAACTACAAAATGGTAAATAACATGTATGCATATTACGCACCCCTTAAAATCTCTGGCACAGCTCCTGTATGTGAGCAGGGTATCTCCAGAGCCTCGCTGATAGCAGCTCCCAACTTCGGGTCGAGTACTCCCAGGGTGCATTTTCCTCTTTTTTTACGCTTGGGTAAAGCACCCTCCAAAAATAGGTTCAGGTCCTCTGGGACAATACCTGTGAGAACAATGTTTCTTTAGCTGACTTAGAACTTATTGAGACCACAGTAGTTTTCAGGATATAAAACCATTTTTTATTTGTATAAGTATATGTTTAAGATATAGACAAATATTTATTCATTGTTGTAAAAAAATATAGACAATAAAAGTACTACCTACAAAATAATAGTACCATTCATAATCAACAGTAAGAATATCAAAAAGAGGAGATTATTACTGATTAGGAAACTATATGTAAAGCTAACCTTCAGAAACCGCATTTATGTTTTCCAAAGCGACGACTGCAGATTTGAATGGTTGGAAGGCATTCAAGGTAACAACAGAATTAAAACGTTGTAGATCCGTCACAGATTCCTCTACCTGCGGTAGAAATGCAGCCAACTCTTCAAATTCCGCCACACGAAACAGAGCGAAGCCTGCACTGTGCTCATAGAGAACGTGCAGTTTACTCTGGAAATATATATATAGTTTATAAATTAACTTCTTCATTAGGGTGCTAATTATTTTCCCAATTAAAATTTACTCACCATATTGATTGTTTATAACATTACTATTGATATAATATAACTGAGACACATGTGTTTTATTTATGCATGTATGCTCGTTGCGTTTGATACAAACAAGTCAATTAAGATTTTGAGGTTAAGTTGTTCCGTTTCACTTAATAGTTCAGTATCTTTATATAATAAAGTCTTAATTTTTGTAATTCTATAGCTTATTCATCTAATTACATATGTATAATGGAAATAACTTCTTAAAATTAAAGAGTCATACTGATTACTGTAAAATGTTATGAAAGTATTAATTATATTTTAAAAATTGATTTAATTGTATCAAAATGCGGTAACGTGTAATGAAATGACATACACATGAACGTTCAAAAATTTTTCTGTACTTTTAGTCTTAGTTATTACTATTACAATTAGTATTAAAAATACTAATTGCAAAATGTTGTTTATGTAGATTGTTTCTAAACCTTTAATATATGAGATCGAGATGATATCGATAAAAGCTAAGAGCAGTAATTAAAACACAGCTTTTTTGAGGATGAGTTGTTTCTAAACGAAAGTAAGCGCACTGCACATCGGATTCGTTTTCAATTTGTAACGGAAAATATGTCATTTATGTCAATAACATAAAATTATATTTTCTCTTTCCAGAAGTATATATTTTCTATTCTGTGTTTATAAAATATAAAAAAAATCTAATTAATGCATTTCTGTATCGGTACGGGTCTACTTATTCGGAAACATTAAATGTTGTATTTGTGTTATGTTGTTCTTTTGCAAAAATCTTGTGTGAATTAAAACCTCTTCACTGTGACTTTCATTTGAGAATTGAGACCACAATATATATTTAAATGATGTTTGTGCATGTGTAATTGAATATTAAAAATGGCTACAATATTGATGCAAAGAGATCTTGTAGTGGCTCTGAAAAGGGAGACTTGTTTGAATGTGGGCATATTGAGCAAACTGCAGCCCATGCCTACAGATCTGTCGAGGCAAATATTCAAAGAAAATGCGCTGGAGAAACCAACACAGAATGTTTTCAATAATTTAACTTATTATTTAGTGTCCATTGTTGATACCAAAGTTCATGCTGCATTCTCTTGGCCTTTATATGATTCAAAGACTGAAAGAACCTACAGAAATCAACTGTCCATCTTTATAAACGATTATAGCAGTAAAGGCCTTCTTTCCCCAGTGATGTCATCTTATTTGGTGAACCCTGGATGTTTCAAAGTTACTATGTTTATATTTCAATTATCTCAATTAGCTGTGCAGCATGTCTTGATATCAAAAATGAATAAAAACCGCCAAATGCAGGCATATGATGAAATGACGGAAAAGTACAAGCAAGGGAATGAAAAATTCTTAGAAGATATTGAGGAAAAAACAGAGACCATGTTGAGTAAGTTCTCAAATTATTTATACAAAAGAAAGGCAATGGAAAATATTGCTGGAATGTTAAGGCAGAAAATAACTGAAATGGAAAATAAACTTACATCATTGAACACTCAAAAATTTATTGATGAAATAGTAGACAAGTATGTTGAAAATAATGTCATAAATGAGTATTTAAAGACTGAAATATTAAAAATTAAAAATGTTCATGCACAATCTAAATATTTTGATTTATGGTTGGCTGAGGTTGATGAAATAATGAATAAAATAGAAATGGAATGGAGTGATAAAGTTTGTCCATTACTGGAATTATCTGAACGGACTAGAGGTAATACAGAGTCTTTAATAGCTAGGCATACCGGTGAAGCTGATAAAAATTCATATATGATTGAATATAACAGCCAGTGTGAGGACATCAACACCACTGAGCTACAGGATCAGGTGAACAGTCAACAGAAATACATACTCAAAAATATAGTAAAAAATGATAAATTGAATTTTCCTAACTTGATTCGTGGTTTCCTGGTTTCAATATGTTTCATGTTGAAAAATAATGAAATGGGAGATGAGATTTATAAGTTCAATGAGTACTTGGAAGAGGGAAATAGAAACTTCAGTGACATTGTTTCTGCCATGAAAATGCTTTTAGAGAGAGTGATGAATGCTGAAGCTAGATTACAGGTAATTATTGTGTTTCTTTCTATAAATAAATTTATAGAGTTAGGTATCTTTAGGTATTGAGGCTTAGATATTCAAATCACTTTATAATATATTTTATGTAGAACTATATTTTATTTCTTATTGCCTATAGATTTTTTATAATGAGTGATAATATAATAGTGCTCCTGCCTATGCTAATAGGATACTCTGGCAGGAAACCAGTAGAGGATCATAGGATGAGGATGAGATCAGGTCATACATACCATTTATTCATCTATTTTTTATTTAAATATTCATGCCTACATTGGGCTATTGCCATAAAACTAAAGCCAGATATGCCAGAGACTCTTAATAAACATACTAAGTTGAAGTATGGATGGATTAAGAAGAGTTCAAAAACTAAAAAGGAATATCACATTGGGCTTTGGCCCATTGAGACTGTTCATTCTCATGCTTTGAATAAAATTTCCTAAGTAAAAAAAAATTAACTGGGACCCAAATTCCATATGTATACTGTATACTTTATATTTTGTCTATTTATATAGATATTATAAAGCTATATGTGTTTCATTATTGTAATACAAAAGACAGTAAAACTTCTGTGAAATGTTAGTATCTTGAACATCAGCAGGCACTTATTTCAAATGTTATAATAATATGCAGATATTTAATTAGAAATTTCTTTCTTTCCAGTACTCGCCGGTGCCCTTTACTCCATTATTTTCAATTAAGGATGTGTCTGAAATACCACCACTACCTGACTTGTCTGATCTAAAAGCAAATAAAGATGGCCAAATAATGTTTGATACCCTAACACCATTCAGTATATCTAAACATCAATTCAATTTACATCGGAAACACTTTAACTCTTTTGTTAAGCCTCAAATGAAGTCTGCATTGGCAGCACCATTCCATCAAAATTCTAGGGATGACTTCTTGAAAAGTTTAGTATTGGGCCAGGTAAGTTCATACAATCAGATAAACAGTAGCAGTTTCCATAATATGTCTATTGTGTCACAGAATTACAAAGGTAATGAAACAATAGCAGAATGTTCATCTGGTTTTACTAAACAGCAAATTGCAAGATTACTATCAACTAGAAAGTCTAGTAGTACTAAAAAACTCAAGGGCAGTTTACGGAGACCAGACATTAATGTCAAGAAAGGTGGCTTGTTTAATGAATCTATAGTTTCTAATGAAAGCAATGAATTGTATCGTAGTTACTCATCACCAAATCTCTTTGAGAATAGAGAGAAGAATTATTATTCAAAACTTAGTAAACGTAAACTATCTATAATGCAAGAAGATATTCCATCGCTTTTGGAAGTATCTGGTATAGCTGTGTTAGATACAGAAAACAGTTATGGTACACCAGAGTACAATAAAAATGATAAGGAAATCAATGTCGTGAGTATACCTGTTGTATCTAAAATACCTGTGCCAGAGACAAGAAAAGACAATATTTTCATTAAAGACAAGATTATACCAACAATATTGGTAGAAGCACAGAGAAATAGTACTGAAATGAAAGAGGATTCAAAATCTGAAACACCTAAAATTAATACACAACTAATAAGTAAAACTAGTTCTTTAGAGAAGATAATAAACCGGTTTAAAATAGTTCGATCCAATGTAATATCAGATACAAACAAGGATGAAGAATTTAAATCTATAGTGGAGGAGAAAGAAAATTTCAACTCTGTAAATGTAGATGTGTTTACAGCAAATAGGATTTTATTGCCTGACCTCTTGAGTCCGAGTTGCAATATATCAAATGACTCTACAGAATATATGGATACACTATGTTTTAATATTGATGAAAAGGAATGTAGAAAACCCCGAGAAAGTCTTGGTGCAGCACTGGGTGTGGATGAGACATTTTTAGATCAGTTTGATTTGATAGACTAGCATATATGTTCCATCTATTTTATTTTTCAAAATAGTTGAAATGTCCTGGCATTATAACTTGTACTTTACCATCACAAAAAGCTTTAATTAAGTATTTATTGTATAGATGTTAAATACTTAGAATAGTATGTAAATTAAATAATAATTCATAATTTACCACAGTATTTGATAGACTTAGGTATGCTCAACATGTATACTATAATTTTGAAATACAAGATTAGAACCCCTGTCAAAATTTTAGGGCAATTACTGCATATAAATATAATAACATCATAAGCGTCTTTAACAATGAAAATGGGTGTTTTATAATTAACTACAATATGTACAATGTCATACAAATGACAAGTACAACATAGCATATACATACTTGTATTGTGGCTAAACAATATGTATCGGTCATACATTTCTATAAGCGAAAAACTAGAGTATGGTATAAAAATGTTGGAATTGGAATATTGGAATATTATAAACCTATATTCTTTGTTATTATTATCATCATTTAGCTTTTGTTTTAATATTTGCACAAATATTACATAAATACACATACATGTCCATGGGTGTCCAAAAACGCCATTGTATTATAAATATTATTAAAAATGTTTGTATTTAGTTCTACTTTATTCGCTATGTGTAAACTGCAGATGTAAATGTACTGGTCCGCGTAAGAGGCTAATTAAATTTGTGGAAGACATCATAGGCACTATTATGATTCATGTAAAGCTATCTTCCTTTCTTCTTGCATCAGTAGTTTGTAGTGATTTTCTTTTGTATATTATACCATAATCACCCATTGTTAACCAGGTGTGCTTCATAACAGGATATTGGTAATCTATTGCTGGCCTGTGGCTAGGTTTAAGGTTACATTGAGAGCCATCTCTTTTATCTTCTTGTATATTTATTCCCCTGGTCGATTCAACAACTAGGAGATGAAAAGTAGTGTTGACATTATAGATACGTACTTGTACACCGTAATGTGAACAATGTTATAGTTCAGTTTTAGGCATATATAATTTTTTTTATTAATTTTCTAATGAATTTTTATTGTAATATTTTTGTACAAAACACAACCCCAAAACCAGGGGCCATATTAGAATAGAGGTGCTGTACAATCGGTCTGCGGACACACTGATTTGAAACTGGCCCAGATTTCTTTTCACGTGGGGACAATGTTTCTTATACTATTTACCACTAACGCCTATAAGACGATCTACGAAGCGATTCAGGGCACTTTTTACCACTACTCAGATATTACCACTGATTTGAGGGTCCTATATAGATAGTTTAAATAGAATCTCAAAATACACAGTAATTATTTTTATTCTTTAGTCTACTAATATCGTTAGACTGATTTCAGTTATGAGTAATACTTGTTAAGTTGCTGTATAATTATGTTTTATTTCCTACTGGCTTATTAGCTTGTTAATTAAAATATTTTACCTAATTGGATATATGTATTTTATTGTCTTAGACGTTTCTGCAACCTTACCTTTTGTTTTCCACTTTTCCCATTATCCTTGATTTATCACAATTTTTTCTCATAGTTGAAATTAACCGCTATTGTCTAGAAGATAGCGATAAATTTCCCCCGACCCGAATTATCGCCACGCCACAGAGCGCGACTAACTCAACCCGGGCGAAGCAAGGTTGGGTTAATAGTTAATAATAACATAATTATTTATCTTAAAGTTAGATATATCGAGATATTATCACTGTTCTTATAAACTCATTACCTAAGATAGATTTTGACCGGTTCGTAGGTAAACAGTATATATATTGTTCAAAACAAGACCATTAAACAACCACTTTGTTTAAAAATCACTATAGACACAATATTGGAGTAGACTGCAGAATTCATTAGAATTAACTACGTATTTTAATATCATAAATAAATATTTATATCAACGTATACGTAATGATTATTATTATTTCACGCTTTCTGCTCCCATTTACATTCTCGATTCGCTTCGAATCATGGTGAAAGGTAAAAAGAGTGTATCCAAAAGAAACTTATTTAATGTACCTATAAACGTAGTGGTTTTTTGCTTAGTGGTAAGTATCTATACTAGATTACATTAAAGGAACTAGAGTCGGTTCCGAGGGATTCCAGATTTCCTTAATTCAATGAGACTATCAAAGTCTATGATATTATTATGTCCTAGGTATATATGTAGTAGGTAGGCACTTGATAGCAATTGCAATAAATGTATAGTAAAGATTTATGATCTAGTTCAAACTTGTAACTTATAAAATATGTAGGTAGTTAATTATGTCTGATATAAGTATACAATCTTACGCAATTTTGTTATTTCGCTTTGTCAATTACTTTTGTATATCCCATAGGGTGGTGAGGTATGATACATACCTAAGAACAATGTATAATAAGTTGAAGTATCCTTGTTATCTCGGCACCGTATTTTTTGTGTTATTTTAAATGCTCAGATATACAAGTGATAAACATAAATGAAAACTGTTATAATATAAAAGTGTTTATTAAAAATTACATTAAATAAACTTAAGCTAAAATTATATAGCTTTACCACCGATCACTAATCGATTTGATAACAGCAAAAAACGATTTTTATAGAGAAAATGCTGAAAACCTAGCAAATTATATAAATAAGCAATTTTGTAAACAAAAACCTTTCTGATGTTACAACAAAGGAGTACTTATATAGTCTTACAGCTTTGTATCATTTTCCTCCAGCTTAACCAGTTTTTCGGAAATTTCCCATAATTTCCTAGCTTTGGACATATCGCTGACTGCATCCGATAACGAACTTTCTTGACAATCCGAAAAATATTTTCCATTGACCTTCTCAAGTTTCTCATCAACGGCTAACATGACTGATGTTTGGCAACCTTTCTTTGGGGTCTTGAAGAAGCCTTTAATGATTAGACCTAATCCCCAACTGAGAGGTATTGGTACATTCCTCCAGATACCAGTATCTACTAGGCCGGGATGCAAGCAGTTGGCTGTCACACCGGTTCCTTCTAATCTTCTTGCCAGTTCCCTAGTGAATAAAATATTAGCTTCTTTCGACACGTAGTATAAGTAACCTGGTAAAGTGTCCACTGGGTTAGGATTTTCTAAATCAACTGAAGCAAGACGGTACAAAGAAGAAGCGACAACTACAACTCTGGCTGGGGCACTCTTTTTCAGCAGGTCAATCAAAAGGTGCGTCAACAAAAATGGTCCGTAATGGTTAGTTGCCATGGTCATTTCAATGTCGTCTTCTGATCTAGCTTTCTTAAATGTTTCTGCGTAACCTGCGTTGTGGATTAAGACATCTAATCGTTGTTCATTTTTATTGATGTCTTCAGCAAAAGCTCTAATAGATGCAAAAGAACTTAAGTCCAATTTTTTTACTACAATATTCGAGTTTTTTGTTGCATCGATGATTTGTTCTAGAAAGATAAATTGATAGCATTAGATATTATTAATATCTAGGTATTTAGATATTATAAAAAATATATATTAACTAAACAGATTAATATAACACAGTAACTAATGCTAATCTGAAATGCCGGTGTTTAATTAAGTACCTGCTGCACTTCAATTTAATACGCTATTCTTATTTTCTAATTATTTCATAGGGTTCCACTGTAGTGTATAGGTATTGCTTACTACGGATGGTTACATGCTAATATTATTTACAGTTACTGTCTACACTTACACGTCTTGTTTGTAATACGTCACGACTGTCTCGATAAATCATTTAAAATTTTCCACTTACCTTTAATTTTGTCAGCGGCTCCTATATTTCTACAAGCCATAATGACCCTTGCTCCTCTATTGGCCAGGTCTTTAGCAGTTTCTTTTCCTATGCCACTCGTGCTTCCTGTGACTATTACAGTTTTTCCGTCCATTCTGGTATTCGCTCTGTACCTTCCGCAGGTGTATTGAGCGTAGAATCTGACGATGATAAGGAGTCCGATGACTCCAAAAATTAAAGCTATTAGACCGAGAAGCATCAGTGCTGGGAGCAGCCAAAAGAAGTAGCCCGCTTTCCACGCCTCTGCGATCAGCATATCTGTAAAATAAAGTACGTTGTTATTAATATGCTCAGAAATGCAATTCAAGTTGTGGTAATTTAAGGTGTTTCGTTATGTACATTTTTAATTCAAAGTGTAATTACAACTTTTTCTAATTTAAACTGGCACAAAGTTTTTTATAACGGGAGGATTTGAAGTTCTGTATATTCGGATTTTACAAATTAATACAGTGAATGAGATAACACATAATATCAATAATAAGTACCTATCTAAGCAATAAAATGAATATATTTTTTTATATGTAGGTAGGTAGGTACTTTGTTTAATTTTGTGCTCTTGTCATAAAATGACAGAGCTATAATATATTAGTCATCAATATTTTATGAGATCAATATTAGCAAACATTACCGATTATAAAAATATTTATTTTAGGTTTCATTTTGGCGAAGATATCGCATAACATAAAATACCAACACACACAAAGTACCGTCAAAATTTAACTTCGTCCCAACTCACAGTCAATTGGTTGAAAGCAAACCGAATTAAAGATCAACAAATTGTACGTATTGAATTGTATAATATTTACTTACGCCGTAATAAATACTCGGAAAATTTATATTTTTCTTTTACTACTTGCGTACGTCTCGATCGAAAGACGTCTATTAAGACACTACTTCAATATTGCTGTCAGATAATAAACGAAACCTTGAACCTTTATATAAACAAACAAGTCACAAACTGTGTAGGTAAATTGGTAGATGACAAAAGATTACGAAACTACTGTTTCACACAGGGCATCATGTGCGCGGCATATTGATTAGCAAGTCAGCTATCACTGCATTAATAAGTACCCAATTTTTAATCGCGATCATTAAGTCAAGGTATGCAGGTAGGTATTTGATTTTTAATGGCTATGCGTTTTAACTGTACTAATTGGTACAATGTACTATTGTGTTCGAGGTCGCCACGCTAAAACCGTCTGACCTAGGTATTTAATTTCTGATGGACTACAGTGGAGCCCTGTGATTTTTTATGAATGACAATGAAATGGTGCAATCGTTTGCACTAACGGTATATGCTAATGGGGTCGCAATGAAGGCTAAGATGGACATTGGGCACGTGAAGATCGACATGAAGATGACATGGAAAATTGCTAGTAATGGGGTACTAATTTCCATTGCTAGGGCATACACCTAAATTTTTATTTATGTTAAAGGTTTATTTTACTAAAAACCCTACTACCATTTTTGCATTAAAATTATTTGTAAATTGCTAAATTAAAACAGCCGTTTTGAAGAGTACTTAATTGAAATTTCGCTCCGACATTGAGAGAGATTGTAGCTACAATTTCGTATTGTGTGTTCACCATTATATAACTTATTTCTATTGTTGTATAAATAAAATTCGCCCTCAGGAAAGCCAACGAAATAAATTTTGTTCTATCAGTTTGTTACAACTTGTCATCGGGATGATAAGCATGTTTGCTACTTCAGTCAAATAAAAAAAAAGTAGGCATCTAATTAAAACCCCATTTCCAATTTCAAACTCCATATGAAAAGTGAGAGAAAGATACCAGCTGCGCGGAGAAGTACCTACCGACTATTCATGTGATAAAAAACTCAGAATAAAAACATAATTCATCTGTAGTGTAATATCGTTGCATGTGTCTGAACTAAAAGTGGACAATTATTTCGAAAGTGCCAAAAGTGAAACCAACAAAGCGATTTGGTACAAACAGCAAGTTCTGTTCGGCAACTTAGAAAGCATTTCGTTCAAGGTTTCGAGACTTGACTCGGAAGTCCTCTCTTTAGATGAATTGGAAAGTCCAAAACCCACTTGTTGTCTCGATGCGTGTCAATAAAAACCGGTCATATTTGGTACAACAAGAAAGCTATTGAATAATACCCCAAATGCATGCAGCGAATGACAAATTATACGTGGTTAGATCTGTCAAAACCGTCGGAAAATACTTATTAGGTACCATTATAATATGTAGAAATGTATCTATCTAATATTGCGTAATAATTTTTTTGTAAGTGAAATGATTTCTTTATGTTACCTAAATTGTTTTTGGTCGACGCACCTATTGCATTTTTTAAACTTTCTAATTTCTGACCTTATGAATATATTAACGTATTTGGGTACACACCTAATCTACTAATATTAATTATCTATTTAGTGATAAATAGAGGAAATTATGTTAAGAAAATACTTTTACTTATACATGCAGTATTTAATAATACCTACTGATTTTTTATAGCGTTCTTAATTCTTAGTTCACTTTAATTTACATCTATTTTCTGACTGACTCTCCGGTTATCGGAAATATCGATAACAAAGCAAAAATTAATTTGAGAGACGGTTGCAAACTCGGCCACTGCGACGTTGAATACATTTAGCGAAATGAGGGCATGTCAAGTCAAGTGCTGCGCACTGAAACTGAAATGAGCGCGACGCGTGACTTTAACAATGGACAATGCCTGTGTCTACCCCATCTGGGATAAAAGTTGAGAAGGTATGTTATAATTATTCCCCATAAGACGCTGATAGCTTGATTACATTTATTTTTTATTATAATATTACATTTTGGAATGTTCATGTAATGAGAAGTGATGAGGATTATGTATTCAAAAAATACTACCCTAACGTAAAAGACGTAAAGGACGTACTCCAGCGACCTGGTGGCCCATCATGAGTAAACCTGTCACAACAAAAAAGTGGTGGACCCGAAAAATCAGGACAGATGGTTCTGGTGGTTCAAAATTAGGAAAGCCGTGGTGTGAGAAATGGGACAAGCGCTAAGTGCAAGAAGAATATATTATTACATTATTCGTAAGCACGTAAGTAGCACAACGATCATCGGCATGCAACTACATGAGATAAATTGTTGGTCTTGTACTTATAATTTATTAAGTACCTAAGTACATACTTATATGTGTATTTAAATGACATTAGTAATAGACGCGGAAATAGGTGAATAAACACGATAATATACCTACCTTCTTGTAATAAATGTGCAACAACGCGTTCATTAGGTAATTGTGCATACTCATGGAATAAAGAGTAAGTTTTGAAGAGCCTGTTTCGAATATTATAAAATTCAATTTGAATTCAAGACAATTGTTTGACCGTTATCTCTTCCTTCTATATATCACAGAAAAAGACAATGATGATACTAGATGTCCTAGGTTTATGTATGATGACCAAATAGTCGAGATACCTTGGGCATCTCCTATTGCACATATTGTAAAATGGGCTAAATAAATATGTAGAAGAAGCAAAAGAGATGTACGACTCAGGTCACGAGGGAAAAGAGATTGTTGGTAATGTGAACTGATAACCTCATTGTTAGCAATGTACCATGTCTGGTTGACCTCCACGCAGTTCTCTCTGGAAACCATCGTGATAAATTCCTGGTTAATTTGTTACTATGGGCTAATTGACTAGACCTCATGGTCGCCTTACCATACTCCATCATTCGTAATTTATGTCACACCAAAGAGAGACAGGCGTGTCGAAATATTTATCAGTGAAAGGATCATTTATTTATTATAAATGAGGAGTAGTATCCCTACTGATAATAATATTGCTACAATGTACTACCTGTTTACCTATATCCTTAAGGCGATTTTCCATAGACACTATCTAGTTGAATCATGTTGAATTTGGCAAGATGTTTTAACAGACATCCTCCTCGTACTAATCGTCTTTCACTGGTGATCAGCCAGTGTATAGCCGTTACCACAGGCGAGTGCACTATTCGGTCATCATTCATAATGTTCAATTTACCACGAAAGGCTAATTCACGTAACTAAATTCTCTCTTTATTACCTACCTTCTTATATGGAGCTGCTTTACTGGTGATTGTCCAAAACAAAAGTAGAGAACTTACAGAGAATATTTGCAGTTTCTTATTACTTTAGTTATGACTCAGCATTCGAACGTTTCTCTTAGAAACATAATTATTAGATATATCTATTTTCTTTCTTATAAAAATGTAATTCATCGTTGTATATGATTAAAATTATTATGGGGATATCAACGTAATAGAGCCTAAAACAATGACAGTTACATTTGAGCGCTAATCTCAGAAACGACTTATTTGAATACATGTTTTTAATATTGTGTTATTGTAAGCATCGCCTATAATTTATTGTTAGCACAGATAACATAATATTACATAATGTTAGTTTTAGTCTGATTAGTTTATAAACATTAAACTTACCTACATGAGAACGTAATATAGGGAGCTTTAAAATACCTAACTTGTTTACCTATACCTATATTCATAATATGCTCACGTCATTTTGAAAACAAAATATAGGACAAACCAAAATAATGTCAACTCTTAATGAAGTATTTGATGGGCTTTAACCTGATCAAATTTTCATTCATAGGTACGCCTATGTAGTCCTTATTAATTGGATAGATAGTCAAGATGCTTTATTGTGCAATGAAGAATGTATTTTGTGTAGTTAATCACACAATAGTCCAATGACTTGAATTAATGAATTAATGGTTATATATTAAATTAGGTAAACAGTAAAATTTTATATATTAATTATTATTAGGTAAGTAATGTAGATGTTTTGATTTCTATTTACAGTTAGTGTCAATTACCTTCAGACTGACAGACTGGCAGAGAATTTTGTATCTACAAAATTTTATATGGTCAATAAAATATTGAAACAGAGCATATCGATATTCTTTGTCTACCTTCTAACGGGCCTGCCGTGAATATATCTATAATATACACAAAAAAGTTACAAAACTTCCAAATGACAAAAGCCAAATCTTGAATAAATAAAAGTGCATCTATTAGTAATGATAATAAATCTACTTACCGGTAAATTTTATGAACTATTTACTCAATTAAATCACTGCGCAAACACGCGCACCAACTTTCATGAACGTGGGACAACTGATCTGCTGGTTGCAAGATGATGGGATTAGAGAGTTATATGTTCACATCTTCTTGTTGAGCTTTGGCGGTTGTTGCCATACAAAACTATACCACGGGATACTCGACCTTTTGTGTCCAACAATAAAGTTTGAAGAGATCATTAATATTATTTTCTCAACTCTCCAAAGCCTCAGTTATAATTCTGGCCATACCAATACGAACCTTATGATTCGTTATAATAAATCTCAATAACGTTTGTTTATAGAAGATAAACACTTCGACCAAACATTTCTCGTATAACCAACCTAGCATGTCAAAGTAAAATATACCTAAGGGTACATAAATATAGAAATAATAATTAAATAGTATAGGAATGCATCGGGTTTTGACATGTCAGCAGTTTTATTTTGATATACAATAGAGAAAATTGCGCTCTATTGCGCCGGCATTAAAGCTTACCTTTATTGTTACAAAAGATTTAAACGGTACATGCTGTTTATATTATAAAAAGAATGGCTTTCTAACGTTTTAAGTATGTCTCGTGACATCTGAGTAGGAATGTTTACATTATGGACTGTCTGCACTCCTAGTATCTCAAAAGGCTTTAATTTTTATTATAAATATAAACAAGTAATCATATAATGAATTTTACAACATTCTAGATTATCAGCTTCTTGTCCTAGCTCCAATCGCGGTAAAAGTTGTCAAAAAACTGTCTTATGGTAAAATTAACTGTGCCCGTGACTTCATCTGCGTAAAATAGTGATGTTGATCAAATAGTAGATATGTATCTAAAAAGCGATACTTCCATACTACCTTTCATCTCCCCTTTCTACCCCTTACAACCCTTTTTCGCATTAAAAAGTAAACTATGTCTTTTCTCAGAGTCTAGACTATCTGTATACCAAATTTCATTTAAATTGGTTCAGTGGTCTGACGTGCAAGCAAGACAGACAGACAGAGTTACTTTCGCATTTATAATATTAGTAAGGAAGGACATATCCAACATTGGGAATTGACAGAAAATGAAAGTAACACATTTAAACTAATTGGATTGTGGTATTCAACACAATTATCGTCATCTTTTTATACTAACAATAGAAAGTGTTCTTAATTATAAAGTCAGCGATGAATTCGTCTAGGTTATTTAAATTTCACGGATAATGCTTTCAACGGTATTTTTTTATTAAAATACATTCTTTTTATTATTAATCAAGGTTTTAGTAATACTCAATCTGTATAAATATTGACAATTAAAATACATTTTATAATTACTAAATACTATCAAGAAATGATGGTATCTGTAATAATACTTATTGTAAAGAGATAGTTTGTTTGTTCGGGTAATGGCTATAAGCTTTTTTATGGTAATCGAATTTTTATAAACATGATATTAATCCTTATTCAAATAAATACTTTGTGTTAATATTAGTATTGAACAATTTAAATGTTAAACAAATATTGCGCACGCTGGGGCGTAGCAGGGGCGGGTTGCTGGTATGGCGGCTGGCGACTTCATGTTCATCCTATCATCCTCCACTGGTGCCCCGCCCGCGCCAGCGTAAACCGTTAGCGCAGGCGATGCACCATTCCATTATCAACCTCAAAAAAAAATCCTATCGTGGTATTTGCTTTGATGTGTTGCGCCTTCACGTTGTCACAATTTTTAACAAAGTCACATTGTTTATCCAATAATAACAATTACTAACAGTTTTTACAAGAATCTTTTAATTAATAAAATAATAGATTTCAGTGGATAACAGATATCTAATTTAGATGATTATTTTTTATTACATAAAGATGGATACGATAGGTACAAAGAAGCTGACGACGTGTCAATTTAGTATTCATAGTACAAACTCTACTAAGTTTGGAAATACATTTATTTTATATTGATTTAAAAAATCATTGAACTTTACAGAGCAACAAAAAGGAGCTCGAGGTTTATCTGTCGCTAATTTGTTATCTCTTATACTGTTACCATGTAGTCGCTAATACAGTCAAAAAATATTTTTTTTACCTATTATCTGAGTTTTACTATATCCACATATTGTTAAGACATCTGCCGGCAGATAAGGCTGTGTGAGTTGTTCAAGGTAAGACATACCAATGAAGTAAAGTGGACATTTTAAAAATAAATTTAAACCCTTCATATCAACTGCTTGATCATGCAATAAATTTTTTATGAAAAGATCACAATTTATTATCAGATTTCCACTTTCTTTCTTGGTGAAGATAGGTAGTTCAGTTTCTTGAGTGTTTTACCTGGGTTTCGGCCTAGTGTATGACTTTATAATTAACCTGTAAGAATATCTATAAACCAGAAGATTTAAAGATTTTTATATTCCCCTTCCTTTACTACATATTCATATTCCTTCCTTAATCTTCAATAAAAATTAATTATCAAAATAAGATCACTCTAAATGATTATCATGAATCGTTTTAATATAGGTGCATGCTTTACCAGTAAATGATTGTGATATCTACTTATTTTTCTTAAACTTAGGTTTAGTCTCGAAATTAGCAAACAGAAAAGAAATTTTCCAAGAAGCAACTGGTTATCAATGATATACAGTAGTTAAGAGTAATACACGAAAAGTAGCTTTATTATAATAACACATATTACAAATATCAACACGAATTTAAAAAATTAAGTTCTCTTTACATTAAAAGTACATTTGAATCAAGATTTGTTATAGAGAACATAAACAAATGTAAAAAAAAAATTGAATTGATAACATTTTTAGTTTATTTTGTGTTACTATGAAAAAGCAAACAATCTGAAGGCCTCTGCTTCTATAGGTATATACCGTATATACGCATGAACCAGTAACCTGCATGTCATGTGATGTGATGCCAAGAGGTCACAAGGACTAAAGTGTGCAAGCCTCTGTACCTACTCTGTAAATTTAGTGCCATATCTCAAGCAAATAACAGCTTACAAAGTAAGCTACTTGGCAGAAACATGTGAGACGGGCGACTTTGTTCAAAATCTACCTCAGTATATAGGAAATTACAGGATATCTTAGTTTGCTGGAATGGCAACGAATGAGTAAAACAGACATTAAATGACGATGTGCTCTTCATGTAGGTAAATATATATATTGGCGACGATTACCACTTACCATCAGGTACCGTTCAGCTTGTTGTCCATTCCAATTAGGTACATAAAAAATTAAAAGATTTTATTAACATAGGTACTGAAGCCAATTCCTAACTACATACAGATCACGAATAGAGACAGGTCAATAAAAAAGTTGGCAAAGTGGTTAATAATTGACACGATAGAGAAATTGTGAAGCAAAAACGTGACAGTTCATAACTATTCTGTGAAAGTAGCAGAAATATGGTGCGGCAAAATGTTTTTATGCCTAGTGCAGCGTTCGGGACGTTTATCCCACAAACACAAGTAGTACGTGAAAGTATACATATTATTTATGGAGATGTTAGGTACTCGATCTCGCATCAAAATATTTTATGATTTTGTATATTTGATACTTCGAAACATATAATCTGAACAAATAACATTTGATTCGCGTTTTAGTAAAAAACATAGAAATAATAAAGTAGTTAAAAATTATTATATGATTAATAAATTTGGGCAACATTCGGTACAATCCGTTCTGTACATGATTGAGTATCATATAAACATCCAAACATACATATTTTACTTATATAACTTTAGTAAGATGTCTACACATATGAAGTCGAGGGACTAGCTGATGTATGACTAACTTCGGTATGTACTAAACTTTTTTGTTTGTAAACCTATTGGAATAAGTAAATACTATATCTACTAAATTTTATGTGACGCTTACCACAGTAGAGACTGTAGTGAAAACAGAACCAGAGTTAAGGCGTTTCTGATATTAGAGTGTACAAATGCACCGACAAAAATTCTATTATAGGTATCGAAAAAGTCCCGTTTAGATAGATTTTTGTTTTATGTATAGACTAACTGTTACTCGCGACTCATATGCATAGTGAAAAGATGTTAATTTTAAATTATAAACAGTCGGTTCAATTTTATTTATATGTATACATACGCAATACAACAATTTGAAATTATCTATTCAAATCAAAATCGTTCCGATAACGAATATGTTATCGAATTATTAACATCCGACTGGTAGATATTGAAAATTTAAACGAAAAGTTAAAGTTTATTACTTTGTAACTATTATGTAAATAATCACCGTTGAATGTAATATTATGTAGGTATAAAATGTAGACGAAGTATGCACTAATATGCCAACACTAAGAGAAAGCTTGTGTAAGGTGTAAGTAACATTGTGACAGCATACAGACGGCTTGTCGGACCGTTAGTTGAACTATGTAATATTTTCCTATCTGTGTTTAGATATAGCACATTGCAATGTTTATACTATAACAACTCGTACAGGTTAGTGTATGATAATGGTATGAATGTATATGATGGCACCAGTAAAAGAAGATGGGATGAGTATGATGTTAAGTTATTTAGCTCATCTTGTTAAATTCATCGGAAATTAGTATAATATAATGTTTAATAATTGTAGTAATTATAAGAGGGTCTGCGAGGACCCTTCACCTTATAGTGCCATAATATCACTCTGGACAAGCTTTTTTTATTAAATTGCCTAATGTAGTACTGGTGTGATGTATCTACTCTTTGTTCTAGTAATTAGGTACCTATTACAATGTTCGGAATATGATTGATGTCTTAATCTAGTATTGGATACTCGCCCATTACTTAAGCAGCATAAAAATAAGTAAAATTTCTTGGTGGGATACCATTGGCAGTAAGCTACATTATTTTAAAATTGTATTCCACTTTGCTCCACCTTTCTTGAAGAGTAAGAATAAAATTTTCCCCTACCTATCTAAGAGTCGTGGCTTAGATGTTACGTGTGGATATCCGTGGTATCAGGGTTGCACAAAGTGTGTTTTGTGCAAAACTATAATACATAAAATAAGTCAAGTTGGTATGCTACGGGAATACTAAAAATTAACTACATCGGCTTCAAATTTTAATAGACTCATATTTATGTCTTTAGTAGTAGTTGCTTTTAATCTTATATATAAAATTATCGTGTCACAGTTTTCGTTCCCATACTCCTCCGAAACGGCTCTCATGAAATTTTGTGAGCGTATTGAGTATGTCTGAGAATCGGCCAACATCTATTTTTCATCCCCCTAAATGTTAGGGGTAGTCCAACCCTAATTTTTTTTTATTTTAAGGCAAAACAACGTTTGCCGGGACAGCTAGTAATAAATCAATTATTAGATGTCATTGGATTTATCTTAACTATACCTTTTATTAATTTGATTAGGTGTATAATGAGCACAAAAAGTTTACAGACCACTGCCATATTCAAAGTAGTTTAGGTACCTATTTACGATAGATATGCCATAGTAATGTAACCTCGATATAAAGTAAATACCTGGCGGTATATAAATATATTTAAGTCACACAACAATAAGTAGGTATATCATGTGACAAACACAAAATTTATTTTGTCAAAGTGTACTCAATATAAAGTAGAAAAACAAACCATTATATACAAAAGAACAGTAAAAAATGACCACTTTCGAATCGCCGATACCATTGTCCGATATAGAATCCGTGTTAGCGTGGGTCGACACGTTCAAACTGTCCAGAACTAATAAAAAAATTAACAGAGACTTCTCTGACGCTGGTAAGTAATAGTAAGTGCCTACATAGATATATACTGAAATGTATAACTGTGGTACCCACAAGTGGGAAGGACAGTATTAAATTAATGATTGTAAACTATCAATAAGAGCCATATTTCGTCGAGAATCTGTAAACGGCAATGGCGATCATATGAAATTATTAAAAAAAAAGGATACAACTTATTAAGATCTGATTTTAATCAGTGTTCATAAAAATGAGTATAATATATTTATTATACAGTTATGCTGGCGGAAATCTTGAGTGTCCATTATCCAAAATTGGTTGAAATGCACAACTATCCACCCAGGAACAGTCACGCGTTGAAACTGAACAACTGGATGACTCTAAACCGGAAGGTATTGAAAAAATTAAAACTGAACCTTTGCTGCAACACAATGGACCAGTTGGCGAATAGTGTACCAGGTGTTATCGAAAGAGTTCTTGTCATGGGTAAGTGGTTCACATTTATATAAATTGAGCTAGGTCTTATTCTTGTTCTTATTCTCCTCAAATGTTTCTGTATTAATATATGCGAATACATTAATAGCGTAACAAGATTAAAACATGCAATTCGACATAATTCTTATTTTTTTTTTAACTTAGATAAGTTTTTATTTCTTCTCTATTGTTCTTTAAGTCTAACTCTAGTGATCATGATATTAGAATTTTGGCATAGATAATCTAAAATACATGTTACGCTATTCTGTAGATCCTATGCAGGTTGTTATACTATCTGTATGATTTGTATTAAGTTACATATGAAGATAGAAAGTAGTCTGTAGATATGCATTACTCATACCACAATATTATATATATCTATTATTATCAGTGGTTTCCCTTTTTATATAATTATATATATTATACTTACAATTTTAGTATCTAATTGTAATGCCAATTAACCCGTGTAATTATAAAATAGCTCTGTACCAATCTTGTATTTTTCTTAATGTTACAGTCCGTGATAAAATTCGTCGAGACGAAGACGCCAATAAGAGTATTAAGGATGCCGAGCAGAACATGTCAAGTGGTGGCAGTTATTACGAGGCCTGTAGTGATGATGGTAATGATTCCTATGGATTAAATATAGTTTATAATACAGTCTTCCCTTTTTCATGTGTAATAGATTCTAACGGCTATATATATTATTATAGGTATCTGTAAGACGGACAAAAAAATTAATTACATTAATTAAAAAATATATATTTTATATAATAATTTTCAAAACTAGATGTTACCAGCGAAGTATTTTACTTTTTTTTTTAATATAATAAATAGCATATATTTATCCTAGTAAAAGAAGCGATATTCTTGTAAAATTTTATTTATGATCGCTTTTCAGAACACATTCTGATGGTTCCAGTCAAAACTAGAATTAACGGTGTACTGGAAACGGTTCAACAGAAAGTTGTGAGCTATGATTCATATCTGGCTTTGAAAGAAGAGCTCAAGGACGCAAAAGATTCTGTGGACGTACTCAAACAAAAGGTAGGTTGTTTATATTCTAGATCTACACAGGTTTTACTTAGTTATATCAGATAAAAAAGCAACTATAAATTATCTATGACAACTTTAGGAATTTACAGTAATTTACTTATTTACCATTGCCGAATTACTTAAAGGCACCACTTTAAGTAATTCAGCAATGGTAAATAAGTAACGACAAAATAAATCAAATTTCAACGGACTCCAAATAGGAGTGTCTAATTAAATTATCCATTATAATTATTATAGGTTTGATGACGCTAACTTCATACTTATATTTATATTTTTTTTCAGGTCGAACATTTAGATAATTTGATGAAACTAAAAGAAGAAAGAATAGATGAATTACAAAAGCAGCTTGATAGAAAACAAGCAAGACGCAAAGAAGTTGAAGCAATTCAGAACAGTCTTGCTGTACCTTTTGAAACCGTACTTTCTCCTACAATAAATGGAATTTCAGCAAACGGTCCAATTTTGGTAAAAACTATTGAATCAAACCCAAAAATAGCAAAAGAAGAGTCTAAAATACCCATTCTAAGGACAGAATCTCTAAAGTCCTTCTCAAAACCTAGCATTACTGAAGTATCAGTTATTGAAATAAAAAAACAAGACGATGTTTTGGAAAGAATTAAATCAGATGTTTTTAAAGAGGTTGAAATAATACAAGAAACAATATGTGGACTTCAAGATGTCGAAGAGTTTAAAGATACTGAACAAGAAGCTATTGTCACTATAGAGGATACTATCCAAAAGGAAGTCCGGGAAATTAGCAGTCACATGGGTAATGTCCAGGACAACAACTAGGCTATCAAATTATATGATAGTTACGGCTATATTATTTTCTTCCCGTATAGGAAAGGTACGGTACGGTACGGTACCTAGATATAGAATGAATACCATGTTGTGATAAATTTTGATGTTTTATAAATTTTCTAGTTAATTGTCATTGTTAATTAGGATTATAGTCATTATAATTCAAAGTTTTTAATACTTTTTAGTTTGTTATGTGTGATTTAGACAATAAAGTTATATAAAAAATACAACGTTAGCTATTATAATTCAAAGTTTTTAATACTTTTTAGTTTGTTACGTGTGATTTAGACAATAAAGTTATATAAAAATTACCACGTTTAAATTTAGTACTATGTGTTGGCTTGAAATATTTCACATAAACTTGGATGTTTATTCAATATTTCTCTTATTTCTTTAAGTCTGATTTTGTTGAAGTTTTCTGTGACGGTGTCGGTTCTGAAAAACAGTTTAACTTGAATCATAAACAGTTACCATGAATATTTAATCTGTGCCACGCTATTACATAGGATTCAATCGAAAATAATAGATAACTATGAATGGAGGTAAACATCATGATCTATTGAAAATCTCTTATTATTTTATAGAATATTAATAGTTAAAAAAATTTAATAAACCATCATACCGAGTATCACTTTCTTGGCCAATTAGTTGAAATCTATTGAATTCAATTTGGCTATTGTAGAAGCATTCCTTTTGGATATTGTCCAATGCTTGTTTCACAGGAAGCAAGTCGTTTACTAAATAGCACATGGAATAAAGATATAGATAATTATATAGGAAAGCAATGAAAAGTGATACTAAAAATGTTGCGTAATGGGACCAACAGGGCAGGGACAATAAAAATATGTTTATTATCGATGATTTTGTGAAGGATTTTTGGATCGTCAGGATTGAATTCACAATTTGGCCTTAAGTCTGTTTGGCATAACCTGAAATTCTTAAAGTTCTGGAAAAACTGTTATACACTCAAATCAGGACAATGTTTTACTCTTTTATACTAGGGAATGTGACGAGTTGTCTAACTATAAAAAAATTTCAACCGAGGTGTAGAATCTAATTAGTTACTAGACAAAAAAAGTACATCAATAGATAATTAATTTTTTTCCAGAAATGGAATTGCTGTAATCTTACGTCTAAACATTCCAGCTATGCTAGATGCAGGGGAGGGGCCAGGTGCTCTGCAGGTGCAGGGCGGCAAAGGCATGGAAGTATCAGAGGTTTGAATCGCCACACCCTCAATGCTGGATCTCCATTCTGTCAGTAGATTCTCTTCAGTACCAGCCACTTCCTTCTCTCCAGTTTTCTTTACAGCAATTCGTTTCTTTAAAATTTCTAGTTGTTCTGTAAACATCGGTGAAAAAAAGGTTTGATAATTATGTTTTTAATATTGAATTTTAAGGAATCAAAGACCCTTTTGTTTTCCATATATTAGACTGTTTCTAGTTCTTTTGAGAGTCGTACGACATGTACAGTCATCTGCATGACTAGGGGTAAGACACCAGGTTTGAGTTAGGGTTTGCAGTGCGGATAAAAGAAAGTCATATGACAGTATTCGTTTTACCTGGTGTACAAACTTCATAATCTTCGTAGGTCTGCTCGAAATAAGTGAAAGGATTAGCCCTCATGTACTTTGGTAAACTTCTAATAAATGAATCCACTTGCATACGTTGACACTTCTCCATTGGACACACCTTAATATATCAAATATTTATTTATAAATCAGTAGAGTAGTAGGTACCTAACCTTTAAATATGTAAATATTACGAGCTTAACATTTTACCTTTTCGTAATGAATTTTGTGATCGCGATCTGGAACATGTCCTGCTATGACTTGTAAACTGTCGTTATGTAAACTCCTGAAAATTAATAAAAAATATTTAATATTTGTTTATAGTGGAAATTATGTATGTATGATCCACATTCACATCCACATATCATACTCTATGAATGCATGGAACAAGATCATGAGGTATTTTACGGTGCATATCTGCCGTCATGGTACACTTCTATCCTGAAGCAACAGTTTATTAACCTTTGTGAAGAATCAATCTACAATATTCCACTGCACTACTTAAGTTCAAAAATATAGGAAAATTATTTAAACATATTATAATTCTTTAACGATGTATTAAAAAATAGGGTTGGTGATAGAAGGGTGAAAATTTAGGGTTACATACCTATATTTTAAATGCCATAGAATAAAGAAATAGAAATAAAAATATTGTCGAAAAAATGAAAAACATTTTTGGGGTGTGCCACCCTTAACACTTAGGGGTATAAAAATTAGTTATAAATCTATTTTCAGACCTACTGAATAAACATATAAAAATTCATGAAAATCGACTAATCCGTCTCGGAGGAGTATAAACACGAAACCTGTCACATGAGAATTACATATATTAGATAATAGTATAATACCCAAGAGCTGACAGCGACTCGTCCTCTTCTTCTTCTACGTTTGAATTAATCTTTCTGCAATGTTAAGAGTATATTTTTTATGTAACTATAAAGATAATCTATCCGTCGGCCAACCTGTTGTTAAGCGACAATCGTAACTTTTTTTTTTTTTTTTCACACAGCGCCATATAGACCCAAGTTAAGCTAGCTAAAGCTTGTGTTATGAGTACTAGATAGCTGATACATATACATATATATTTTTTTCGTAAACATATTATACATAGAAAACACCCAGACCGATGCAAACAATCATACTCATGAATATAAATGTTTGAGACGTGCGAGGAATCGAACCCGCGACCATCGGTCGTAAAGACCATCGAGGTCGTCACTTATGTTGTTATATATGAAAATAGTGCTATTGTGACGAACGTGACAAATATCATGCATTACGTATCTCAAACATTTGTTGAGGTTGCTGATATACAGTCGGTCAGTCGTCAGTTTCATCAATGTCACTAAAGTTCCAATGGACTCTGAATAGCATATCGACAGATTATTACGAGGCTGATGCTATATAGACTGTTATACATCGTCAACATGATTGACCGGCTGTATATTGCCAGCCTTAGTTGGAAATGATAATTTATCTATAAATGCCCTTGTCATATAATTTCCCAGAAATAATGAATATTATATTCTATTGTAATTGACATGTATTTATTATACATCTGATTCCTTCATGTGTTTATTTCGACATTAATGACGCATATATGTTGTAGGTGTCTCTATGTATTCATATAACGTATATAAATATATCTATAGTATATGCGTTACAAATACACAAACAAACAATATATATTTATCTGTGTATTGGTGATAATTGCTTATTTTTCGTAGAGTAGCGAGTACGAAGCTTCACCCGAAGATAGGGGTTGAGTGCAGATAGCACACTGAACCCGTGGGAGGACTTATGGAGAGCCTGAATTCCAACTCCCGCCTGACGGATACTACTTTAGTCTGAGAGCACTTCTAGATCCCCGTTTGAATTGGATGGGGGATCAATCGGAGGGAGTATTTACTGTAAGACATTGCTTTTAGTGATAAACTTGTCTTTTGTTACGCACATTCTTACAAAATGTTCTATCATTATGTTTTTAGCCCGTGATAAGCGGCTTTTGGCACTAATATTATAATTCTTCTTCTTTTCAAGATTGATATAACAAATATGACTTTACATGGGATCTGGTTCTGTTCTGGACAACTCCTCACGAGACTCATCTTGATATGCTCCGAACATGGACTCCTGTCGACAAAACATCGCTGTCATTGGTGTATCCGGGGGCAATGAGGCCAGGAAGCAAGTTTCTACATATATGTTTAAGTAAATATAGATATGATTAATTTGGTTTGTTATGGGTGTTTCCATTACCGAAAAGTTATTGAGAAATATAAAATTACAGACAAAGTTTTAGGTGGCGATTCAAATCAACGAAATGGTAAATCACAACAACAACTCTACAAATTTACCTACATCACTGAATCGTATATTGAGAGTATGTATTATTGAATATTTTTTTGTTACGAAAATGACTGATAGTTCATTACAATGCGCATTTATCGCTTGTCCATGTTATTAGGTATACTAGGACATATGCCTAAAAACTAAAAATAATTCTGTTCTCATCTGACTTTGTGGTACAGTTCAGGTAACTGGCTAGTGATGTAGCGCAATCTAGGTATGGATGTATCATTTAATCGGACAAGTAATTTTTGATATTATCCATTACAAACTAACATATAAATGTAAAAATAAATTGTTTTTATAAGATTAGTAAAGATAGAATAGTCTTTTTTTACTGACTTTCAATGCACGTGTCTATTTTAGGTAATATTACAAACATTTATTATCTCAATTTTCTAAGACATTGCGTACCACAGATAAGATAATATTGTACTACATACTCGTACATAGCAGGGATGTTAGGGAGCTCCGTAACCGTAATTGAAAGTATGGGATATCCGATATAAAAAAATATTCGTAACCGTAACCGAATCCGAAATGTTTCGGATAATATCGGATAGGGGTGGAGCCTAATTGAGACACGTTATGTAACGTATTATTAGTTATTTGTATTTTACTATAGAAATTCCTTAAAAACAAAATATCCGTAACCGAAATTATCCGAAATTAACGGATAATACGAAATAATTTCATATCCATATCCGTATCCGTATCCGGTATAATAATCATTCCTATATCCGAAACATATCGGTATCCGAAATTTCATATCCATAACACCCCTGAATCCCTGATACCTACATACTGTCGGGCGCAAACTACCCAGTCCTAAACTAAAAAGATAGAAAACTAAATAACGCTTTATAGCGACGTACCTTTCTATGACCAACGTTGATAACTACTGTACTGTGATCAATATTATGATGTTTTTCGCGCTGTCAAAATAAAATATATTGTTATTACGGAAATCTATACTAACTTATATATATTGCGAAAACCGATAATATCAGTAGTGAATGAATGAAAGAAACTCTTTATTGTTCCTATCACAGAAAATACAGTTACATACACAATTATGTATAAAATAAGAAGAAAGACAAAAAGGTAACAACGGGCGGCCTTATCGCTAAAAAGCGATCTCTTCTTGGCTGTTCTTAGGATGGAGGGATGTGATTAGATTTGCTTCTGGTAGAGATGTAACGATGGTAAGAAATGACGGTGTTCATGTTTTACAATTTTTTATAACTAGAATGGCAAAGAATTTCACAGATCGGCTAGAGAAATGTGACAAACGTCGCCTATTGACATGTACTCTCATGCTCAACTCTCATGGATTCCCGTGGAATAATTTTTAACACTATAATTTCACTACCGGATCTTAACACTCAAATCGGAATATAGCTAACAAAGTTATTTTTATCTATATATTTATATTTTTGTCGTTATAACTTAAGAAATAGCTATCACAGATGTAGGTACCTACATAGACTAATTTGTACATTGTTTGCCTTGGTAAATCAATCCTAAAGTACTATTAGAGGATTCCGAATAACAACAATATAGTAGTATTTGACAAGGTGGTATTTCAGGCCGTTGCTGGCCTTCAGCCGCTCAATAAGTTTTACTGCAGGTTTGGATTACCATCTGTACTCGCCGTCTATTGTTGGGTGAAGTTGTAAAGGCCAACTGCGGTCGACAGCATTAGAAAAGTTCGAAAAAAAAAATGATAAGGTGTTACAAATTAGTTTGTTCTGGAAGGTTGTAGTACCTATATTGTCTTTGTACTCTATATTACCTTATATTGTATTGTAGACAATATATATATTAACCAATCTGGTAGTAGAAGCAATCTCCAAAGAGTCTCTGGCACCCAGTAGCGTCGCTTTTGTCACTGGCTCGTTAACGTTCGATGTACTATAATAAACACGCGACATGATTGAAAACCTGTCGTGAACATTCTTAAGTAATATAATATAATGATAATAATAGAATTCTCTGTACAATTCACACAGCGGCATCTAGTCCTAAACTATACAGAGCTTGTGTTACGGATACTAGACAGAAGTACTTAAATTAGTTATGTATACCTAATGTATATGAAAAATATCCAGATATAGGTACACAAACAGTCATACTCATGAATAAAAATGCTTGCAGCGTGTGCAGAATCGAACCCGCGATTATAGGAAGTAAAGCACGGTGCTGAACTGCTAGACAACCGAGGCTGTATTATAAGTAGTAATCAATTGCATTCTAAAGAAATAAACATACATAATTTTAAGTATAGACCCCATATTACCACGGAAATCCACACTGGTCATTCGACGAGTCGCAAGAGACTGAAATCAAATAATTTATAGTTGATAACATATAATAACGTTTAAAAAAAATATTTATTTAATGTAATTTTATAAGACATTCTAAGTCACAAACGTTATCTACGTATGATTATGCAAAGTGTCACAAATATCGAATCATCATGTGATGCCTAATGTTTCCCTAATGTGTCATAAAGACTAAGGTCCAGATTGCAGGACTAAGGTGGCAAGCATCTGTAACCTGTAATTTTGCTGCCCAATCTCACTCTTCACTCGAAAAGCTTACAAAACAAGCTGCAAAAATAAGTGATACAGATTTGTATACAAAGGAGTCTAAAATTTTACAATCGAGTATACTGTACCTGATATTTATAAAGTCAATCACTAACCGTCTTCGAGATTCTGTCCTGAGTTTGTACAGCCTGGCATTCCCATTTGCCCGGCTCTGGGAGTCTATTCAGATACTCGTCTTTTATCACGTCAGCATTAGGACAAGATGACTTGACATACATATTGTTGAACGCTAAATTATAAATAACAATTATTACATTCAGTTATTACATTTGACTAAAGAGTACCTAAGCGCCTTGTCGTAGCCAAAATCAATGAATCGGAATATCAAAAATTCAAAAGACCGTATTGTTACACAGGGTAACGGCTCACCTGGTGGTAAGAAGCAACCGTCGCCTATATACCATGAAGAGCGCCACGAATAAATCCATTTACGCAGTAATTTCACTACATATATCACCCTAACACTTTAAATAAGTAGAATAATGTCAGATATAATTAGAGATGTGGTATAACTTGGTTATAATTATGCTACAGTATAAATGCTGAGTTGGAGTCTCTTTCAGCTTTATCAGTATGTAGTACTGATATAATGCTGAATAATTGTCTATTATTATTGTTGGACTCTGTTTTAGCCTTTAATTTGGGCCGTTATGCCAAGCTCCTCCCAGAAACGCAGAAGCCTCCTGGTGTCTTCATAGACGTCACGGAGCGAGCTCTCCCTTCCGAGGATTTGTGTGTCTATTATTATTATTGTGTAATATATTACAATGTCTATGCAGATTAAATCTACATAATATTTCTAGACGAAAGTTATTACTTTCCATTAGACAAGTAGTTAGTGATAAAAAGTGGATGAAAGAAAATACGTGTGCAAATATCGAAATCTTTGGCACTCGATTGTCTATTCTTACGTCGAAGAGAATTTCGTGTACAGATATCCGTACCTACATGGATAAATAAAGAGATAATCTCACCATATTCCTTCCACTTTTTAGGAGCTGTCTTGGCAGCCTTGACAGTTCTGAGTACATCTCGTCTCTGCGGCGGTTGAAACTCCGCCATGTCTCCAAACATGACAAATGGCCGACATTCCTGATCGGGACGATCCCACCATGTTTTGTGCTCTTTTGATTCTAAAATTTATTACTTTTTATAAATAATCAATCGTTTACTGACAAAGGTGTATGAACAAATGAGTGGCGCAGTGGTGGGTAATCATTTTGGGGAAAAAGGCATATTGCCTTGCCCAATTCGAACCTTTTTCCCCAAAATGATTACCAAGTCATGACACTATTTTGGTTGACTGTTAATGATGAGTAATGCATAGTCTCTAATAAATTTTGTTAAGTAGCAGTACTAGTAATTTTTTGTGTGCAATAAAGAATTTATACGTAATTAATATGCAATAGTTTGTCAACACGGAAAATTGTTGCATGTTATCAACATAATATAAGCACATAACAAAGTTAATATCAAAAAATTTTGTCATACTTACAGTTTTTTTTGTGGATGATAATGGAATGGTGCACTCACTGCGCTAACGCTTTATGCTGGAGGAGCACCAGTGGAGGATGATAAGGTGAGTATGAGGTTAGGTCAGTTAGCCCATCGTGGTAAATTCACCGTGAATTTATGGTTTCAGAGGGAACTACGTGGATGTCAACCAGACATGGTACATTTCTAGTAATGGGCTAACCTTGACTTGACTTGACGGCTTCGGTGGTCTAGCGGTTTAGCACACCGCTTACTTCCAATGATCGCGGGTTCGATTCTTTGGACGGCACAAACATTTGTATTCATGAGTATGATTGTTTATGTCGGTCTGGGTGTTTTATATGTACCTATAAGATATATGTATTTACGAAAAAAAAATATAGCTATGTATATATAGTATTTGTATCAGATCCGAGATTATTATTACTATTAGTCCTCTCCCCTGACTAAGACATTACAATACCTATATCGTTTGCACTAAATAGTTGCTAACAATATGTGACCAATTTAAATTAAAGTTAAAAAAATAACTATAATATCTACTATACCTAATCTTAAAACTAAAAAAATATAGAGAACCTACAGAGTGCTAAAACAAATTACTTACCTAGTAATTTATTCTCCTTATTATCAGATACACTTTCATCATCACATGCACAAAGATCTTCATCTGGATCGTCTGCCACTGGTGTCTTGGTCGCAAGCAGGTCTGGCAAATCTAATAGGTACTGGTTCGACTCAGGATTCCCGCCGCCGTAATGTTCAATGTACAATTGAAACTGGCGAAAAATTCGACTAACAGAATTAAAAAATAAATAAACAACCTTGAACATAGCACAGCTACCCAAATGAAGTGGATCATGCATCAAATGAAGTGGTCGTGTACTGGACCACTAACAGGCATACTTAAGTAGTTTTTTATACATTTAATTTAAATACAATAATATATTTAAGTTCATTAAATTTCGGTAGACTTATAAAATATTAGTGCAAAAAAATATAAGTTTTAAAAATAATATATTTAATACATAGAAAATCTAGGATAGATATATATGAAATAAATCCAGATTTACGTAAAGAATATTAAAAAATAAATATGTCAATATTGTGTGGGTATCAAAAATAAACGATTTTTAAGAAAGGGGAGAGGATATGGGTGACACCCACATATTATATATAATATATTTAGCACTGTCTGTTGTTTCATGTACTTATGGTGTACAAGCTGTCGGTCCACCTGATAGTATTTAGTGTATATACATGGACAATACTACTGACAGCGTTGCCATTGGGAAAGCTGAAGATATTGTGCTTATTCTGAAATTCTAAATCTGCAACGGAAACGCAAGCTTACAAAGCAAGCTTGGTGGCTGAAATAGTTGGGACCTCACCTCTTTGACAATTTTCTTCATCTTCTCTCGCCATTCATGGTCGACCCTCTCGGCAGTCTTATACCCTCTCGATAGATTCAGGATTAAACTCTGGCCCTCTGTCAGTATGTCTTGTAACGCGCGGATGTAGTTCGTGTATTCTGGATATTATAATCATTATTGAAATCATCACACGAACGTTTTATTATTTGCTTAGTATAAATCTATAGTAATGTTTGATACATGTCTGTAGTTGCTGACGTAGACTTTGTACAAAGTAATCTGGGACTCCTTTTTCTCATCTATTTAATTATAGGTAACGCTACGTAGATACTGGTTGAAAGATACGATCTGGCATTGAAATTAAAGAATAGAATAGAAAATCCCTTATTCACATTAACTTAGTTTAAGCATTTTCGAATAGTCAGCCCCGCAGGTAGGCGACGACATACGTACAGTTGCCAGTAATAACTGGAAGAGAAGAGCTGAAGATCGTGCCTTGGGAGAGGCCTATGTCCAGCAGTAGACTGCAGCATTTCGGACATTACAACATCCTGCTTACTTGCAATTTAAGTTACATAAAAAATGCACAAGACAATATATAACCACTAAGAATTCAGATTCTACCATTATTAAATTGAAATCATCATTACATAGTAAAAAATAAAGTCGCAATCGCTGTCTGTCCATCCCTATGTATGCTTAAATCTTTAAAACTACACAACGGATTTTGAAGCGGTTTTTTTAATAGATAGTGATTCAAGAGAAACGTATATATATAATACATATACACCCGTGCGAAGCCGGGGCGAGTAACTAGTTAAATAATTTATTGATATTGAAAATTTTAGTTACTTATGCAGTCAAATTGTCCGTATATTTTTTCTTATCGTCTAGTTCAGGCCTAAAGATAGCTATAAGTGAATAGAAGACATATGTTAGGGTGGATGTTATGTGCATTATTTCTACCCTTTTGGATACTTCTCCCACAGGTTGTCCCTATTAGTACCTAATATTTATTAAATATTTATATCTACAAATACACAAATAGTTAAGAACATTTCCGTTAGGCGCATAGTTCCGGAAATTTTCTAACAGTATCTACTAGATATATAAGTAATAGGTATATCGGGAGCTTATTAATAATATTATCATGGTAGATATCCCATTTATATAATGTGTATACATCACGATTCAATATTTGCCTTATTCAATAATAGATGCGGATAAGGCAAATCAAGTCACAAATGAACGAGACGCGATTTTTGATACGAATTACATTTCGAACTTGCCTTCAGTAAGTCTCATTTTCTCTAGCTTGCCTTTCCTTCGTTCAGAACATAAAACAAACATAAGGCCTGCTAAATTTTTGCATTCCAGTTGAGTCTGTAGCGCTTTTATTTTCTCTTGTCTCTCTCTGTGAGCTTCTCGTAACATGTACGATGAACGAATTTGTTCATTCCTATATAAAAAAAAGAGACATCGATATCTACATAATATATTTAATATGTAATTTTCTCTTTAATACTATTTCATAAATAGAGACAATTGTTTCCCTACTAAATAAATATAGGTTTATATCTACATTGTGATCGCATTTCGAATGGGGCCCCTAACCTCCGATAGATCATTTGCTTGATGATGCCTTGTTGAAGGTAAAATATGTGTCGCCAGTATGGAATACATGTAGTCGGAGTTTAATCATTAGCATTTAGGTGTAATTATAGAACCTCTAATGATGATGGTCAATGCTTAGCGCTAAAATAGAGTCATATATGTCAATTACAATTACATTGGTTATGGTAGGTAATAAACAATAGATACTTCTAACTTCATATTTAGTGAATTAGCCATTCGCAGAATATCACACTAAAAATATTCTTTGTTAACTAAGCAGTGTTGTGTACGTACCAATAAAATTAGTCTAACAATAGACGGTTCGAAACAATGGACATGATCTTTAAGATATTTTTTGAATTCGAAGAAAGGCCGAACACCTAAAGCCTCTTTGTAAATATACCTACTATTTTATGACGTGTGGCTATTTAGTAACAATGCGACTAAAATTTCTTTCTCAAAGTAGTACCTACCTACTCCTTTGGTATCTACTGTTTTGTATTAACCTGACCTTGCAATTATAGGTACAGGTATAAAGGGCGGGACGGACTCGTACGCACCAAGGGTTCTAAACTAGTGAAACAGTATATTTCATATTCTAAGTAATAAAATATGCTATATGATTGTTATAAGTTTTGCTTATTTCTAAAAATCTAATAAACAAATTGAAACACTAATTTTCTGCTGTGCTTTGTGTTCTATCCGCAATACGGCTAGAACACAAAGTTCTAATACGCCATCGGCGTCATTAGGTGTTAGTTTGACATTAAATTTAGTAATTTGCAAGAGAAATGGGATTTCACACACAAAATATAGAATACCACCACGGAACTAAAACAGCATATACAAAGATAGGTACTTACGTACCTATTAGAGTGTGGTGGAGTGTCATATTCTTAAAGAATCTACCTATAAATATAATTAGGACATACTGCAATATAAAATCAAATCTTTCTTTTAGTGAATTCATCTCTTTTTCCAGATGCATTTGATACTTAGCACGCAGCTGTTGTTCTTTTTGATCTATCAACCTCTCCAAGTTCTCTGTATTTATGTCTCCTTTTAGTGTACCTAAAGTCTCTTTGCATGTACAATCGACACAAGGATCTTTGTAATTCTCGTTTGTGGTTTTTGTTTTGGACGTAGCGTGCATTATACATGAAGAAACTGCTAAAGAACATTGTTCTTCTCTTATAACTTCTAAACATTCTGTATTATCAGCCTCAAACAGCTCGTGACTTGAGTGTTGAGACATCTGAAATAAAAAAATATCCCTATAGGCTATAAATAAATCGATATGGACAAAATAAACCATACATACATAGTTGATCAATAACTAACGTGACCATTTATTGTTTGACTCAAAACGGGACATTTATTTATATGAATTAATAGACAGTCAATAAAGGAAACAATTTATTAAAGGTAATTCTTTAAAAAAAAAGTATTACCCCCGTAAAAAGGGAGATGTAACATATATAAAAGAATAATAATAATTAACTCTTTATTGTGTACACAAAATAAACAATAAGAAAATACAGTAAATAGAAAAGTAATTACAATAGGCAGTCTTAACGCTATGCAGTCTCTTACAGATAACCTAGAAGAGATATATCGTCGATTAAATAGAAAAATGACATTTTTCAAAATTATAAGCTAGAATTGCCACCTTTTATATAAGTCAATTAAATTAACCACGCCGTCTTAATCATTATCTAAATACTTTTAAAATGATATATGATACTTCTTTGTGAATTTAAAACTTTAAAGGTAAAAATAATTTAAATTAATTTAAAAACTTTAATTGCTTGTCTACAAGACAATATAAAAATGGCACGTTTTTATATATTCACTTTAATTATCAACAATAATCTACATCACAACCGGCCCGCTCGACTAAACATATTTTCAACGAGTTTCCAAAAATAAGTTAATTTCGGGGACACCGGGACTTGTTGCTATAAACAGGGACAGTCCCGTTTAAAACGGGACGTCTGGTCACGTTATCAATAACCGAATTTGTAATGAAATAGAATCATCAGTACTATTGTTACCGGTTTTAGTTCAGAATTGTTAAAGTAATTAATACGAATAACAATGAATTAGTACTTAACTACAAAAAGTAAATTTTAATACTTATTTCGACTCTTCCTTAAAAAGCATGTTAGTGTACTCACTCTCAAGAAACAAAGTATCAAAATAAAACAAAACTTTTTTTTATAAATACGTTGAAGTGTGAAATCTATTTCGTCCATTGTTATTTTACAGGTAGCGTAGATAGGTAATAATTCTCAAAACAATAGTCTAGTGATAAGTAAATTGTGGTGGGGAAAGGAGCCGTTTCGTCATTCGAACGAAAGGTTTCAGTCACATATGTAACATAAAATTAGAGCTGACAATAACTGGTACAAATATTACTTGTAAACTATAATCATGAAATAAATTTAAGATTTAATTTGCAAGAATAAAGTGAAATATAATAAGCATTGAACCATTTCCTGTGTTCGTATAGCATGAGTATATTTCTATGATGTGTAAATATCTTTAGTTCTCTGCACAGATAGGACTGACATTGACGTTTCAGTTTTTGTACTATGGTAACATTGGTAACAAATGTCGAAAATCAGAATTTGCTATCGTGAAGTTCGTAACATGTGATGTTTCGTGGTAATATTTTTCTAGGGGAAAAACAATTTTATCCAGTTGTGTTGTGTTAAAAGTGAAAAGAAAACTAGTAATTCTGAGTGTATCGTGCAGTGTTAATTGTAAAACAACTATAAGTGTAACACAATAAATATTACATGGATAAAGCCGTCACTTGAGGTTGTAAAGGTTAGTGCTTTTTTCGTCTGTTGTTTGTCTTAAAATAGATTCCTGTGCGGGTCGTAATGATATTTCAGTTTTGTTTGTGTAACGCCTTCATGTGACTATTCAGTTTTTTGATAAGACCTTGAACTAGAAAAATATTTTTTTGCTACCTACCAAGGTTAGGTGGCGCGGGCAATATCGTAAAATATTGTTTGTTTTCATCGTGTGTAATTGAAATAACTATTATTAACAAAAAAATATTGTTTACAACAAAGATTTTAGCTTAGTTATGAAGTATTAGTGCTAAAACATTAATTTTGCGGTGTAAATGTGTGACCACCAAACATAACCTAAAAGTGCACATTATTTGTTGCACTTTTTTCGTAACAGTAGTGAAGTAATTGAAAAACCGTTATTTGTATTGAACTCTTGTCCGATTGTTAGTCCAACGAGATGTCGGTCACTTTTTTGGTGTAATTTGTGTCGAATCACGTGATTTACGTATTGTTTTCACACCATTTTGACAGTTCAAGAACATGTCAAGAAGGTATTTTGGTCCTTATCTAAGGTGGTAACAGAGGTACGGAGTTCGTAACAATTTTCTGATAAAACAGCTCTGAAATGGAATCTGTTATTGTCAATATGATGATTTATCTGTTGTTAGAATATTTCATATGATATCAAATAGAATGTGTTTCTAATACCATTTGAATAAATATTATATATCATATTTAAAATTTTATCTTCATTATTTCTTTAAAATTTCAGTAGGTATAAATTCCATACTCACTGTCATTGTTATAACAAATATATTTGCTTTTCCCAAGCAATTATTCAAAGTCTACACAAATATATTTTTATTATAATTCTTGATGATAATGTTTTTTGGTAATTGAAATAAATATTTTATAAACCTTACAATTTTATATAATAAATCATCTGTACACATCTGCATACTGCCTATGTCAGATCACATACACAGTATCTTTTGTGTTTTATCTAGGATATAATCTTAGTAATAAGTATACCAAAATTAATTAGTCCAATAAAATTTAAACAAATTACTATGAATTTACAATATTAATATGACACAACAAGTTGCCACAGTTCATAACGGGAACTATTTTAGTTTTATTGGCTATTAGAAATTTATACTTGCCGAAGCACTCAATATGAACATTTCATTTTACAAGAAATACAATGTCAAATAAATATTTTAACTGTGACAACACACAGTATTCTTTTAAGATTTATTACAATTTTTAAATTTCTCGAATTCTAGCATTAATGCCTTAAAAAAGTAAGAAACCATCTTTGTACAATGACAATCACAACAATATTTGTTATGTTTGATGTCAATTAATGACATAAAATAAGTGTGTTGTAGATAAGTCTCTTTAGTAAACTTTAACATTGTTAAGATTAGTATCTAATGAATTATGTAAACACTCCTATTAATGTAATTAAGCTTTTATATAACTCTTTATATAATTAATGTATTACAGATATTTGTTAATTATATAACAATTATATAAGTTCAGGTAAACAAACAAGTATCTCAGTATTAATATTAGAAAACATTCCGAAGTTTTTAGATGTTGAGTAAAAGTATAGTAAAGTACTTGTTTTCTATAGATTGACCTTTTCCATTACTATTATGAGTGGAAATTTAATATCATTCTGTTCATAATTGAATTATACCTAATTTAAGATAATTTTATTACTACCTTATCACTTGTAAATAATAATAACACTAATACCTTATGTTGTTGTTGTTGGGTAATAGTGATCTTTAGTCTGGGGGTACTTAATGTCTTTTCTCAATTAATAGGTAAATTACTAAATTTCTATTTTTTTTTGTAAATGTTATGCATATTTTTTTGATGTCATTAAGACATTTCATCAGTTGGTTTTAATATTTGTAAAATGTCAAATGTTTCTTATCATATATATGTTGCCAGTTTTTATATCAGATATGGTTTAAAAAAATTAATGTTTTAATAATAATTTTAATTAAAGATCAATTATTAAATTAATTAAAAATAGTTTTTTATCATTTTACAACTGTATTTAATTTTCTGTTAAACACTGAAACTTATTGGTTTCGTAACTGTCCCATTTTATTTAGGGGTACCTAATTAAGACTGGGAAAAGTATTTTCAATACTTTGGCAATGGGAATTAAAAGATGCTGTTTCATTATAATGAGGCTTTTTTGAGGGTCACTAGTAGGAGAGTATGTATATAATATACACTATAGGAAGGAACTGGTACTTAATATACAGGTTTCCACTTTAAAGTATGTAGACACATGTATGTTAGTTACCAGTGATACCAAGTAGGTACCATATATCAGGGAACAATGTAAACTGTAAATATTGGATGAAAGTTAAAAATTTTATTATAGGAATAAAAAACAATTCATGATACTGATCCTTACATGTATTTAAGTTTTTACTATATTTGACTATTTTGTTTTAATTATAATAACACTTATGTGAGGCATTGTAAGAGGTTACAACATTGTTACATATATGTAAATTATTTATGTGTGTGAATTGAAACCACCATTTGGCACTCTGTACTGTCTGCCTATAAGGTACTTTTGGTTAAAATAGAGAAACTTTCCATCATGTACCTAAATATTCCTAATTGTCTTGTATTTGTTTATTGTCTAAAACTTTTTAAATATAATTTAAAAAGTTTTAGACAATAAAATTTAAAAAATAAAAAATTTTAAATATAATTTAAAAAGTTTTCTTAATAAAAATAAAAATTATTTATTTTACTCAAGTTCTTATCATTAGTCATATATACAGGTAGAAATAGTAGAATCAAAACAGCAAGTGTCCTCTGGAGATTAATATCAATGTTGAATTGAATCCAATCCATTTTTGTACTGTTATTTTAAAAAACAATATAGACTAAATAATCTATATATATATTGGTTACTTCTTTCATTCACCACAAAATATGGCAGAAATTGCATATAATTCAAAAGTAAAAAATATATAATTATATTCAGAATATACTGGCTGATCTTGGTACTGGCTATATTATTTGTATAATATTACATAGAACTATACAAATAATCCTTACAAGTAATACTTTCGTTATTTATTTTACTTATTCCTTATTAATAGTTAAATTTGAATTAATGGAATTAATCTATTGTTTAACAGTTTTCCCTATCTGTTAATAAAATCATAATTTATGTTAATTATTTTTACTTCATTACAGATATGGATTCACACATACTAAATATGTATCATCAGACTTCTTATCGCACAATTGGACATAAGATATTGCGCTCCACTAGCAACTCAATCTCATCAGAAGGCAGTTGCAATCAAAATAGTCCAGAATATACCCAAATCCAGCAATCTGAATTTAGAGAACAGTCTGAAGATGATTCTAATGGGGCTCAGGATTGGTGTGTGAATAATAATCAAGAAGTAAGTGTGTTTTTCTGTCTCTATTATCTCTCGCATATCCCAAGAGTTGATTAAGGGAGTTTTCCCAAACCCTCGGAAGTAAAACATAATTTTCAGGGACCTTAATGACAATCATAATGTCTTAGTGTCATTTATTTTGTTATCAGTGGTTCAGAGATAAGATGGTAATGTGTCCATAAGAGTATTATATATAGTCATATATTACTTATATGGACATGTGAAAAAAATAAAAAGCACTGGTCTAGAGCCTGTGCACAGGGAGTATTAGTGCTAATATTTTACTACCATATATGGGAATTTATTAAACTTACTTTAAAAGAAAGAGGAACAGATAGTTCTATTCATCTTTCTTTTATTTCATCTGGAAGTTTTTGGGTGACATCGGCGCATCCGTTGCAGCGTCTCGCACTGATGAACGGTCAACGGACGCGCCTTACTCACTCCTACAACAAAGAAAGTATTACATATACATTTTTTATAAAATATTAGTGTAAAAATAAACATTAAATCAATATAAAATTCTTTATTGTGGTGCTTGTATATAGTAATAGTTAACATAGGAATAATAGAATCTTATTTGAAGGGTCCCAAGTACAAAATATTTCTGTCCTTGTTTGTTGATAAAATAAGTATTTTTTAGTTTCAGGTAAATACAACAAAGTCAAGTCATGATACCAGTTCTGATGAAGAAGATGAAGTTGGTGAAAATATTGAAATATCTGAAGTACCTTATAGCCATCATGCTTCAGAGTATCACATAAATGCATCTGAGGGGGATAATATTGAGGTCTCCTCACTCGTAGAGGGAGATGATTATGATATCATTCAAGTATATGCTGTAGATCCTAATCTAGATCTAGAAGCTTCATCGGATGAAGAAGATATTTCGTATCAGGGTGTTGATAATACAGATGAAGAAAGCTGTACTACAGACAGTAATAAAATTAATGATCATAATGGTTATGCTCATCAAGAAGACAGCACTCCAGACACAACTCATGATGTCTTAAATATAAGTTTAGATGCACCAGTCGTCTCCAATGTAGATGAATATTTCATTAGTACTAAAAACTTATTGGATATTAAAGATGAACCTATTGTTAAAGATGTAGATGAATATTTTATAAAGAACGCTGGCCCCGAATCTACAACAAATGTGGATGATTTCTTCATTAAACATAATATACCTGAACATATAGAAACATCTACAAAGTTTCACATAGAAAAACAGGTACCGAATGTTGACGAGTTTTTTGTGACTGACACAAAACAAGAAAATCAACAGGATAACAATGAACCAGATCCCAATACTGATAGCACAATTAATGAGTCAGATTTAGATGTTCTTCCCAATATAGAGGATATAAAGAGATATCTATTAGAAGACATACCATGCTCTAAATTTAAAAATGCTCAAAGGTCATGCTCTGTTCCACATTCTCCTATGAATATTTGTATTGATGCTGATGAAGCAAAAACGAGTTTGAGCTTCGAAGATTTAAACTTAGATCTATCTGATTTGTCTTTTGACAATGAAAAAGATAAAAGTGATAATAGTGGAACTAAATTGGATGAAATTCCATGTACACTTACTGATGAGGATGTCAATAGTTTTCTTATTACTAATAAAACAGAATTTACTACTGCTGTAAAAAATGAAGATGACTTTAGTCATCAGGATATGGAGATAGAACATCCAATAGAATCTTCAATACAGGGCTTACCTGAAATTCCAAATAGAAATAGTATAGAGGTACTATTTCTTTCCCCAATTACTAAACCAGCGGTTCTGGATTTTTGTATAGAAAAGTCTATGACTAAAAAGGATATAAATGATGCAAAGACTGAATTGGACGATTTTGTAGATGTTGAATCCTACAATGATGCTGTTATACCAGTTTTAGAGGCAAATAATTTGAACTCCTTATTGGAACAGTTCGAGGCTACTGAACAATTAAATACGAAAAAGAAGTCAACATCAAAATTAGAAGAGCAGAGAATAAAAACTTTAAACAAAAGCAGTTTGACAAATGGTATGCGGCTACAGGATGCGGGAGTTCAATTGAACAAAGCTAAGATGCGGCGAATATTGGTAAGTAACTGGTTTTATTTTAGTATATTTTAAAGTTACAGAAAAAGAACACATTCAATTTAAAGACATTATTACAGATGCCGTCGGCAATAAATTCAAGTGGCAGTAAATCGCCGAGCCCTGTGCGATCAGACCACGACTACTGCTCGTCGAAAAAACGACACAGTATGCCCAATGTGAAGGGAGGACAAAGTCTACTTAAACCTGAAGTGTTGTCTAGTAACAGCAGAATATTAAATTCTAGGCATAGGTCTTGCAAAAATAAAAAAATTGTCTATCACCTAAGTAGTGATGACGAAAGTGAAAAGTGTAATAATAATTCGAAAACTAAGAAAACATTAAAAAGTGACGATAGTGACACTAAAAAGAAATCTAGTGGTAAACAATGTGTTAAACCAGTAATATTGACAATTAATCGTAAAAATCTATCACCAACCCATAATGTCGGTAATGATGGTTGTATTAAAAGTAACAATTCTGTGATGAACAAAAGTGCTTGTAAAGCAAGTGATAATTCTTTTAGTCAAAATTCTAATGGTAGTATTAAGTTAACTATTAAAAATAAATCTGAAGTTATTCTTAACTGTGATGATAAAGACTCTCAGAAAGATTATACTGATAAACCTAAATCTAGTAATGTGAGTGATAAAACTTTAAACTGTATTGTAAATAAGTCTGCAAAGGATATAAAAGAATTAGATTCTAATAAAAATAAAACAATACCTAGTAATATAATTATTAAAGAAGAAGCCCGTCCAAAAGATAAAGAAGAGAATTTTTACACAGCTCTATTTAGTAATAAACAAGATGTACAGATCCCGCAGTCAATGCAACTGAAGGGCGAGAAGAGATTGTTTGAAGAAGAACTGCAGAGGATATCTGAGGTATCAATAAAAAAGGACGTGGACCAGCCTGTGAAGAAAAAGAAACTGAATCTTCAAGAATATAAAATGAGGAGAGTTACCTCAAATAATAGTTCAGCAACAGTGAGCCCAGAAGCTATATTCCCGGATATGCCCAATTTGATATTGGATAAAAGTAAAACAGTTTTAAATCAAACATCATTACTAAATAAAGCAATGCAACCAAAAGAAATTGCACCCAAAGATGTTTTTGATCCTATTAGAGAAGCTTCTAGAAAGATTCTTATGAACACAAAGAAACAGAAAGCTGAAGCTATGAGGAAAAGAGATGAAGATATAGTAATGAGTAAAATTCCCAAGGTGCAAAATTTAGAACTTCAACCATTAATAAGTGATGCTGAGATGATGAAAATTGTAGGTATGAATGCAGCTGAAAAATTGCCAATACCAATTGTTCCCGAGAAGCCACAAATGCTTTCTGATTATGATGAAATCATTATGGTTAGTGTTGGCACAAACACTGATGAAAATGTATTCCAAAAAATTGATAGAAGTTATGAAAATGTGAGCAGAAAATCTGAATCGCCACCCTCTGATACAAAGTCGTTAATTAATTTTAAAATAAAAAAAAGTGATCATATCCTAAAACAAAATGTATTTGATACAGTAAAAAGAAACAGAAGGAGCCCAGATAATATCAGGAAACATACTGATACCAAAATTGACAAAGAAAGATATAAAGATATAACAGCAACATTGAAAAGTGTCGGAAAACATGTTGATACTAAAATATCTAGTAATTCATTATTTGCTAGCATTCAAGATGTGGTTATGAAAAAGGCCCCAGAAGAAAAAGAAACCAAACGCTCTAAGTCATGTTCACCCACGGAAAGGAAATCCAAATTTGATTACTCATACATTAAAACGGTTATAGTTTGTGATTACGATGCTAAAGCCGATCATGGTGAGGATAAAGTTATATTACATCTGGAGAAGAACAGAAATAAACCTGCCGCTAAAAATATTATAGTGCAAACAGATACAGTAGGAGATTTCCCTGAATTACCTACCATGACAACTAACATGTCTATATCTAAAGATAGACACAATACTAGAAAGAGAACTGATAGTGATATGTCAATGTCGAGCGAGGGTAGCCCGGATCGAAGTGAAGAGTTCAAACCGACAAGCCCAAAACATCAACAAGAACCAAAAGTTGAGACCAAAATTGCTATAAAAAAGTCAGAAGTGAGAATAGACAAGGGTTCACATTCAAAAGAGAGGAGATCAAGATCGAAGGATCACTATGATTCAAAATACAGACGTAGATCACGATCGGTATCTCGCGGTCGCAGAAGACGAAGATCTCATAGCAGAAATCGATCACGCTCACGTGGTAGATACCGACGGTATAGACATTCAGATTCTCCATATAAGAGGAGACGTCGTTCTCGGTCATCATACCGTCGCAGAACGCCTTCCAAACGAAAAGACCGTAAAAGACCATCACGTTCGCCCCCTAAACGCGACGAACCTACTCTATCTAGAAGTCCACAATCAAAAAAACCTAAACTAAATCCTGTTTTTGTCACTAATGATGTTGATAAGAAATCTAATGAGGTCAAAAAATCTGTAACTCCTCCTTTAAGAAAACCAACAGTATCAGAAAGCTCTGATTTATCTACTAGGTAAGTGTTTTACTTATGCATGTCTGAGTGTTTTGCTCTATTTACATAAGTAAAATTTATAAAAAGATATTATTATACATATTTATTCTTAATATCACAATGGTTTTGACTTTGTACTCAGAGATAATAACATGAAATCTCATGATTCTGATTTCTGATATGTAGTGTGTATACAGCTATGGGGAAATTGTGGAACCCTTTAATTGTTTATATTAGATTGTATATCTTATTAATAATTTCATCTTTAGCATTTACACTTATTGCTAGTGGCATTAAAATATATTTACGTTTCAGTTCATCATCCTCGTCTTCATCTTCATCTTCATCTACTTCCGATAATTCTCGCAAGTCCAATCGATCTTCGTGCAGTCCTTACAAACGAGACGGACTGTTCCAGAAGAAGGATTATAGGAGTTTCAGCTCTGAGGACAGGTTAAATTCATTCTATTATTCAAGTATCCAAGAGCCAAGTACATTAAATACAGCCGGTGATGTCATGTAGAAATAACGGTAGTCATTCATATAAAAAAATATGGTCTCCAATGCTGAAAAAAGTTATGTTCACTTAGATTTTGCTAGAAAATTGTAACATTAAATAATCCCTTTTTACTGGGATAAGTAACATTACAAAATTAACTGATATTAATTAATTTATATGTCATTATAGAGAAAGCGCCACACCAGTGGAAGAGAGACGAATAGTGTTCGTGGGCAAGTTGGAAAAGGACATCAATAAGATGACACTTAGAGGGTTGTTCTCAAAGTTTGGGAAAGTAATGGAGGTGCGCCTGCACAGCAAGGAAGATGGGTGAGTAATAACTGTCAATCTTGTGAAAGGTGTTTCCTTCATCAGAGAGTCAAGCAGAAACAAATTTGTTTTAAGCGCACAAAATTGTTTCTTTTGCCGGCTAGATTTGAACTCACGACTTTCAAAGTGTCAGTTGGGGTAGTAGACCTCTAGGCCATGACGCTCTCTCTTATTATTAAAGATGTATTACACTTTATTTAGTCCGTGTTGCCTTGCCATTTACTTCTCTAGCTACATAATAGGTTGTGATGATGACAATAATGATGATCTAATTACGCAGATTTAACGCATTTTCGTAATTTACAACTCATGCGTAGTTGTATTACGGGCATCGAATAGTACGAGATGTCACAGAACTATTCATGTATATAGGCGACGGCTACTACCTACCATTAGGCCACCAGCTTGTTTGCCATTCCGTCCATTCCATTCCATAAAAAATATTTTAAAATGTATACAATTATCAATAGTACAAAATATTGATGTTGCATGGGGATAAAAGCTTTGACCATGTGATGGTCGAACTATAAAACAGCTAGTTGCCTGCTCTTATTGGTTGTGGGCAAGAAAGAGTGTGGTCCAGCTGAGGACTGCATAAAATTGCGTAGTTTAAAGAATCTAAGCGTACAGACAGCGGGAGCGACTTTGTTTTTTTTATTATATATATATATATATATATTATATATATTATATATATAAAGATGTAAAGATTATGTTGGGATGGTGCGTACAGGACTCGGTACGGGTTCGTGACGTATTCTCGGCCGAGAGACGCTTGGGCAGCGGTAGAAGCAGCAGCCAGCTTCCCGAACTATGACGTCGGTTTCGGCGGCCGCCGCGCTTTCTGTCGACACACTTATGCTGACCTAGGTCAGTCACCTGACTCACTGTATATTGACCATAGAGTCATAGACTAGCCTTTTGTTCCAATTCTAAATTTAAGTAAAGAACACATAATTATTAATATGGACAAGATGAGTACATATTAACGTAGAATAAAAAGTCACCTGCGTCTCAGTCTCTGTTTCAGGCGCAGCATGATTTGTAAGCTGAAATTCGATTATAGCGAGAATAGGCAGTGAATTTGCATAAGAGACATATTATCTTAGTCCTCCAGAATAGCAACGCATTAGCGGTGTCACGAGCATAATGTGATAACGTAATCCACTGTTCTTGTGTATAGATGATGGTTACCACTTACCATCAGGTGGCCTGTAATCTTGTTTGCCATTCCAATTACATACAAAATACCACATCCTTAATTTAAATATCGGCGCCATTTAAAGTGAGATCACCCTCGATCTAGTGCCAAATCATGTAATTTGTAGGTTCTATTAAAATAGAAATATAATCTAGATTTCGAATTTATCTCAGTCTTATAAGAAATTTGTATATTAGATTAAAAACAAATATATGTCCCAATTTTGTAATTATTTTAACTTTTTTGATTGACTTGTACAAACTTTGTAAAATGGTTCAGTTTCACACAGAATAAATATATTGTGTTAATTTATTCTGTTAATTAGAAATATATATGATATTAAATTACTAATGTGGGCATTTTTGTAATTTCTTCAGACGGCTTAGAAGCCAAATACACGGAGAGCGCATTCCACGGGCAGGCATCTGTACCGGCACGTCGTAATAACGACCAGTCCTTTGAGGAGATGCTGTTAGAAATGAAGAAGACATTAAATCAAAGGAAAAACGAGAAGAAACGCAACGACGACGAGCCCAAGCCTTGACGATTGCTCCACACTAGCCATATTTTAAATAAATTAACGCCGGCCATTTTGACGATACTCAAACTCGTGCAAATGGCCGCCTACGTGGGGTGAGTGCAATGACCCTTACTTTACACGTGTCAGTTGACAAGTGCGTTGTGCAATGGGGAAAAAGACAATTGATTCGAAAGAATTTGCTCACACTGTACCTATTCCTATTGTTTAATTTTAGTATACTTTCGTTCCTTAGTTTAGTTCTTTACCTCACTGTAAATAGTAGTTATAGTTGTGTATTATTAGTGGCGTACATAGTTATTATGTATAATTTTTATTAACTCTGCCTTTTATGACTTGCCGGTTTTGGTTGATAATAAAAGGACAACTTCAAAAAGCATACTTGTTGTTTGTGTAAGTTGCAGGCATGTTTACAAAAATAATGATTCCATTATAAATAGAAACGGGTAGAATTTGCGGTCAAAGAAACAGATTATTTTGCAGCAGTGAATAAGAAATGTTCTGTGAAAAACTGATAATTAGTCGGTGAACTAAATGAACACTGAATAATTTAGTATTGGTGCTGACTTTGTTATTGAATTTAGTTTATAATTTTTTTATACTCATAAAGCATAAGCAGGATTCGTGCTTTTAAATTACGAAATTAATAAAAAAATCGTAAGTATTGTATAACATGAATTGTGACTAATATATATTATTTTTTATCTGAAGTATGTTTGCTCTATTACGTTAGTTTTATAGTTGTTAGGACTTCGATCGATATTGTTTTTATGACCATGTACTTCTTTGACTACGGTTAACCTTGGTTTTAGTAGTGTCTTTAAATAATCCAGATTAAATAATAAAAAAAATATGAAGTATCAAATTAATAGGTAGCGTCTACTATTCTTTTTTAAGTGTCTCTTATTTTACCAAAAGCATACCCATGTCCCAAGAAAAGAAAATAATAAATTCCAGGACGTTGTCACATCCTAATTACATACCTTTTAATGCAGTTTTAGTTACTTTTTACAACAGTTTTACTTTTAAAATATTATAAATAAAATCAGCTACAAAATTTATGAAATAATACAGAATGTATCGAGTCAATAAATGCTATTATGTTACCAATTATTATTTTCATAGTTTTATGTAGCTATACGTTACTGTAAATAGTTCAGTTTATAAGTAAAAGTATAAATGATTCTCTCGTTTTGTTTAAGTTTTTATTTTAATATTTTCAGTTTCATAATTGTGGCAACACTAATGTTTATAGTCTATTGGTATTATATAAGATATCGATTTGTAAAGTACATTTTATATTAACTAATAAGGTGGTCTAAAATATTCAATTGCAGGTCAATTCTATTAATAATACAAATATATAATTCGAAAATAGAACCACTCGGCAAATTATCACTACGTTTTAAATAGAACCATAGAAGTCATATGTAACTAACTTCTTTTATTAGCCCAAGGGTGCCCAAAGATATTTTTTTGTTTCAGTCTACAGCAGAACTGATCAATTATTTTATAATGAAACGTGTGTATAAAGAACAATGCGGTTCACGCAATTTATCTCTTAGGTAACTACTTAATGTTTCTTAGTTTAAACAGATTTCAAGTTCAAAGGTACAATTCGGAATTTTGCCAGTTTATTTAGGGTCAATTATCAAAAAACGTTATATAATATATAAGTACCTAGTCTAAATTAAAAATTAATATACCTACATATTTAACTAAAATTAATTAATAACCACAGATATTTAAAAATAATCCTTGTTTTCATTTTTTGTACTACTTGTAATACTCTTTAGATACGTTTTAGTTAAACAGCATTAATTGTTTGTCTATTAACATGACAAAATGTGACATGCCACCGCTTAAACGGTCATCCACGAAATTGAGGGACGTTCAGCTTTACTGTGTTATAATGTGGTTGAAAAAAGATGCCTTCAGATATTCAATTGCTTACTGTTTGGGGTAAATTGTAACATTTTAGTTTTGTTTAAAAATCTTCCAATGAGATTGTAAGTGCCAAAAACTGTTCCTATAATTATTGTCTAATTTACTCATCACCTAGTTGTACTATTTTATTAGTACACACATACATATAGTTGTCAGATATTAAAAAAATACGATCTAATTGAGATTGTTCTAAGTGCGGAATACTAAATAATTAACATATATGACATTTAAATTCCTTGTCTTATCGCTTTAACTTCTGTTATCATGTAACTTGTAGGTGGTGACTTTATGAGAGACACTTCAACACCTCGGCAATGGTAACTGTATCATCTTGCCTATAATCACCTACATTTGTAATATCTCCTGAAATCGGATCGTGTTAAGTCTGAAAAATAGAACAGAAAAACTTTAATTGGATATTAAATATGACAACTCATGACATTTTTTGATATTGTAATTATCAGAACATGTTTCGTAATTTGTAAATGGTCTATATCCACAAATTGTAAGTAATTATTATATTAAGTGGTATTGTAAGTACATGAATGACTAATTTGTAATTTAATGTTACATATTGTGTCAATCACTTAATCAGTCAAAAAGATTTACTATCACGATTGTTTGTTTTGATTTTAAATAATATTGAGGATATAGGTTAAGGAAGTACCTGTCAATAGTGTGAACAATTATTAAATGTGTTTAAGAAAAATATAAAATATACGGCAACTAAAACAAGGACTATTTGAAACAACAATGAACAGAATGTAATGACAGTGTTGTAACTATAATGTTCATATTTACCAAGTGGCCATTTAAATTTAATATCCATTTTGTATTTTAAAAAAAATATTTATTATTCTTTGCTACAGGTAAACTATGCCAAATGTACTATTATTACCTTTTGTACTACATTACATATTTTTTTGTAACCACCTACATCATTTCATAGTATGAAACTATGTATTGTATGATTGTCACAAATGGATATTATTTGTGGTCTTATATACGTACTAACTAAAATTACTCAACGCAACTGTATACTCGACTGCGTGTCGATCCCTACTTGTTGATATTATACTAATAAATAATATAATTTCACTCATTTCAATGTATGATCGAGCTCCTAGTCAGTGTTACTAGATATATTGTTATATCTTGTGAACGTATTTATTTAACTTAACAATGTTTAGATATGGTTTATAAATAAGTCAATTTTGTTAGTGTCAAAATTAAGTGCGGTCCAGCATATAAAATTGTTATAAAAATCATATCCTATTGACTTGTTATTTTTGCTGGACCTCAATTGAGAGTTCTAGATAAGCTGATCCCAACATCTTCCCCTTTATTCATATGAAAATTGTGCATGCATGCATCTTGTGTCAAGACTGTCTAATTCCGAAAACTAATAATCTTTCGTTGTAGGGCATAGATGGATATCTATGCCTTAAAACACAGTATATATTTATTTTAGCGATATTTTGATCGAATTTTATGTGTAAATGATTTACATGTAAAAAGTAGAGGCATAATTGTTAGAGGCATAATATATATGTATATATTATGTCAAATAAATCAGCAAACAGTCCCAATAATGTGAGTACGATCATTCCAATGTGATTACCATTAATTGTTATTGTAGTATGCAATCAGAAATAGATACACTATTTCTTACTTATGTAATTTAACTTACTTATAGATATTGGGAACAGCAGTAAATGCATGAACTTTTGACATTAGTCTAGTATTTTGATTTAAGATGTGACCGTATTATTATAATCATATGAACAGGCAGCCAAACGTGTTGATTGTTGTTTGTGTACATTACTTTAAAATTCTACATTATTCTTGAAAATACATTTCATTATCTAATTAACTATTTGATTCAGATATCATCTAAAATGGAAATTAGAGCATTAGACAAAATATGTTTTATGATTAATGTTATCAAACGCAAATCACGATCGTTAGATAACTTTTAAGATAAGCAAGGGAGTTACTACTGACAAATTTGTACGGAACTGTTTTATTTTTTGTTCAGAATATAATATATAAGCAATAGCAACTTATATATATATAAGCAATAGCAACTTATATACTTTATAAACATATCGCAATGTAGGTAGTATGTATATACATATAACATTTTTTGTCAATCAGGGTCATATATGCGATATAATTGTTACTGAGAATTAAATTAAAATTACATTTAATCAATTTCAATAAATGAATCAGGATTGTATTGTCTTCCTGTCGAGTATGTATAAAAACGGCTAAAAAGGCAAATGTTTTCATTTCTAAATATGTTCTATTCACAGAAATAAGAGATTATATGTCATATTAGGGGTCTTGTTGACTAAAACTTGGGTAGCAGATCTATTTTGAATTCAGCTGTAAATAAATAAGACTTATTTTACTTGTGTACAAGTATTTAGAGATTGAATTATTTGTTACTGTGTACAGTCACTGGAATTGATACCTTTCACGTTTATATTATTTGATGACGAAATTTTTAGGTAGCTCTATACCACCAAAAATAGTAATAAAAAATAAATATAATGTAAAATCAATATACATTATGGCAAACTAATTATATGTAAGATTTAGTCAAATTATATTATTAGATGTATTTAAGAGAAAATGTATCGTGATTTTTATTTATTATCGTTGAGTCATGCGTCTGCATTGTTTTAGGTGAAACTGTAAAGTAATTATAATTTTGTTTCCTGGTGGTTCCTTTAATTATGACACATCTACTTTAGAAACTTCTAAAGCACTTCGAAAATACAGGTACAATTGTTATCATGTATCTATAGGCTCCAAGGGAATCACTGCAATTCTAACAGTCGATTGTGGTATTCAAATATGCGTTTTGGGAACTTGTGTGTTATGTTTCACCAGCAACCTATAATGAGTTCTCTTATAAAGTAAATGGTTAGCGAATAAGTATAATTCATTCTTATTATAAAAATATAAATAGAAAAAATGTCAAACTAGTATTTTTTTAAATTTATACACTTCATTTCTGATGTGCATGATCAGATACAACACATGACCTGTGTTTTCTACTTAATAAGTAACTTATATAATAAATATGACAAATATGTAATATTAAAAAATAAAACGTAGTATCGTTATGTATTTTTCAGAAATAAATCTAATCGTTTCGTACAAGGAGATAAGAAATTCGAGTCGGGAGTCGCAATGTAGTTGGAAATAATAGTTATTTGCAGCTTTTAGTTATAATAATACATTACGTTGTAGGTACACGTGTATCACTTCGTAATGATTTTTGTAGGATTGCAGTGATGTCCTTAATAAATAAAATTTTAGTTTTGCCATTACTTATATTTTATTAAAGTGTTTTCGAAAAGCTACGAAAGATAATTAGAGTACATTAACAAACGAATTTAACACCTACCGCTTGTAAATTAG